CCTTTTGGTCGGAGAGAGGTTTTTTTTTATTCTCCCCCCCCCCCCCCCCCCCCCCCCCCGGACGCTCCTTGCAGTTAGGCTTCGTGCGAGTGACAGGGAATTCTCATAGCCCCAGTTGGAGAATCGATAGTTATCGAACCTTGCCAGAGCCATCCAGTCTTTTCGCTCTGCCAAATTTTTCGTGATTTTGCAGATTGGAGGGATGAGCCAGGATTTTACAGGGAAAGCACAAGCGAGAAGAATACTCTGTTTGTTCTTGACCTCCAGAGCATTGTCATTTGCGGTGTGTTGAATTTGCATGAGGACATGTTTGGCGCCCATAAAATATAAACATTATGCAACATGTCTGCGCAGCACCAGCTTCGGCAAATTTTATCGTCTTGATCCAGGGCTTGTATCCACTTGTCTTACCAAGGAAGTTGGTGCGGTCCAGTTGTCCGCGCACGGACCGTCCGCGTCCCAGACCGGGTACGAGGCGAGGGCCGAGATTGCGTTGAGATGCTCACTTCATGTGCGAACGAAAATGGACCACAAAGCATGGAACAGAACAAATGCCAAATCGGAAGCAATGGCTCTTAGCCCTCTCTTCTCATAATCGGTTTGATAGCGACAAGCTCCGTACCCAGTACACACCTATCCTTTGCGGTAAGCGATTTTTACCTCTTCTTAACTCGTTTTGCCCCGCCTTTCTGGCATGGTTCGAAATTGTCCCCCCATTAACCCCCTGTCATGCCACTCCTTACTGGTCGGCAAGGTTCGCTTCGATTGTTCATTTCCGAACATGTCTGCGCCTGAACGGAAAATCTGTCTTTCAAATTCTGCCTTAGTGGTGAATTTGGTGTAAGAGTCTCATGGATAATGGGGGGTTTGGAAGAAGTGAGGATCCACATGATTTTAAATCACAACACTTCTTCAAGACACGATGAACCAGACGCAAATCGTCGTATGCGAATAAGAGCCGCGGCTACTTTACGGGACATCGCTGAATTATGATTATTTACCGGTCAAAATTGATTCCTCTGGTTAGGGTGGATCCAGAAGAAGATTTGCATGCTCGATTAACATGGAAAAGATGGGACCAAAATAATTCTGCGAAAAATACTGCCAATTATTTTTCCCCGTGGGATATCTACCCCGCAGCTCGAAAGGTTTTCAGCCATGCGAGATGACGATGACCAGCAGTACCAGCTTCTCAGTCCATCTGCATTAACCTATGAAGTGTCTTGGGCATTTTTCGGTTATGATCCGTGGTGGGTCGATAAGATTCTCATGTGGCTGATTATTTATCATTTCCGTGTTTTGATCCAAGAAACGGGGCCAAACATGGGACAGCCGTGATATGTGCCTTATCTCCTGCATTTTTCGAGAAAGTAGGCCCTGTATCTGCTACTTACGCATTCAAGGAAGTATCAAGGATGGGCATTTTACTTCCTCCATCACCTATAGGAACATACAAATCCAACTAAAGAGGTCCCTAAACCCAACATGGACAAGTTTCCACTTGGTAATGATACTCCCTCCGGTTATATTTTCCAGTATAGGTTCAAAATCTTTTCGTCAGTTGTCTTCACAAAAGAGGTTCCAGTGGATGACAATGACAGGCAGTTCCACCCTCAACTTTTCGCGGATTGAACTGAGCATCGACTTTACTTTTTCCAGCGCCGCCTTTTGACTTGGCGTCACGCGGCCTAAGCAAACAGGAGAATTTCGTAGTAAGTGCCGATCCTCATGAAATTCTGGCATATGCCGAAATAATTAATTGTTGCGAACGGAAGTTATGGTCTTAGCGGGTTATCCGCCCCCTCTGGATGCAGGGCTGCGAGCGTTGAGAGGAACCAGCCAATAGCGAATGAAACTAACAGCATTGTAGACAAGTCGATGAATGCTAGGCCGAGGATTTTAATACTCGGTACAGAGGCCGCTGCGAAAAGTTTTGTCCCACGCTAAAAATTTACACTGAATTATCCTTACTAGTATATGGAATCTCCAGGCAGTACTACCTGGGATTTAGGCAGTGAGCTAGTGGGCAAGCTAGAAGGATTGGCCTCTATAAGCCCCCCTGTGACTCCCTATCCTTCTCATTAAGAGCTGGAACAGCAATACTTAAACGTCGGTATCAGTATTTCAGCTCAAATTATTAGCGCAAGTCAAAACTTTTCGCAGGAGCCTCTGTAGTCATTATTGAGATAATGTTCGATACCTTGCGTTTAGTGTATGCTTGTTTCCTCATCGTATCTGGGGTAATCACTATACAATCTCATTCGTCCGGATTTGTTTAAATGGATACAGGATCCATCAGAAGAACCGCAAATCCGGCCAGTTTCACATTATGGTTTGCGCACTGCTGACAGCTGGGGTCGTGTGCATGGCGCAAAAGGCCCAAGCGCCTCGCAGGACAAGGTGGACCGTGGTCGAGTTTGATGACTGTTGGTAGGCATTCAGAATAATGATCTGAGTGTAAAATTCTTCCTATTTTTGGGCCCTGTAACTTTGGTGGGGACTCAGGGGTTTCAGCTCTAGGTGCAGCCAGCGCAAGTCGCAGCGTTGAACGTCCACAGAAAATCACTCACGCTGCGTGTACCATCAAGAATGGAGAGTTATGTGACTGCCTGGATGGCCAAGCAATTATTATGGCAAACTCCATCGTCAATTTTGCCATCCCACTGCAGCTCCTCCATTGATTTGTTGGTTGGCATCATGGGTTTGTTCTGGTTTCCCTTCTGTCCGTGGCTTCATCCACGGTCTTCAACCGGAAGAGCAACGCTCGGAACCATACTCTTTCCAATCCTAGATATTCCAGAGAGGAATCCCACGATGGCTCTAACCCAATTATGTTCCGGCTTGGAGAGTACTCCGTACTTTATTCGTGAACGAGTGGACCTGGCTTGACACTATCTTCGGATTCCGGACATCCTCCCGAATCAGATGAGTTGTTCTCCATTCGATCCACACGAACAATGTGGTTGCCGTGAAACACGCGGAGCGTCCACCAGCTTCCCCTGGCTTGTCGATCTCCTAAATTGACAGCCATTTCAATGCCTGCCACGTTGGGCCACATTCGGCGATAGCTGACTTCCCTGATTCTCACCAACGATCGTTTGCAGGATGGTCATCTCTGGAGAAGGCACCGGGATACCCTGCCTGGAGTCGGGCACATGCGCTGTAAATCATTGATGATGTCTTCGTAAAATAGATGGGAAAGGATGGGTGCTGGCTACTACTACGTACGAAGAATGAACAGCAGTTACACTCGCGCAACAACCCACAAAGACCACCCTTTGTGGGTGCTGGCCTCGACCTTAACCCATACCACCGCTGCAATCCATGTTGCAATAACTCACCATTAATCGCATTTTTTTATTTTATTTTTAAAATGGCAGATGGCTCAAAGGACCCCGAGCAATTCTCTGAGAAAGTCATTGAATATAATGTCCGATTGTGTGGTGATTTATGGGCAAATCTCGAAATGTGGCTGAAATTTTTTTTGGTCGGGTTTTACGAACCCACAATCACATCCTTGGACCTATCCAAGGTCCATTCTACACAGGGATACTGTTTGCCGTTAGAGAATAAGTGTGGAGCCTGAATAAATGTGTTTGACCAGTTTAGTGAATGTTGGGTAAGAAATTTGATGTCTTTTGCTTCCCGTTTTGGTACGATTTATTATTCTTTCTTCGGGTGACTGGAAGATGATCTAAATCACCTCGATCTCGTCCAGCAAATTGTGCTACATTATCTGCCAGTACTTGGGGTTTTTTTTCTTCTTCTTTGGCTTCAGAGGCTCGCACCAGTGCAGCCAGTAACAGACCGCACTTCTTTACTAAGGCCTGGGGGTTGACCCCTGGTGGGTCCGGCTAAATTAAGGCGACTTTAGCCCAGAAGGTCAAGGTGAACCGTTCCGAAGGGAGACAGGCGCATGTCATCCACCATATGGGCCATACTTCGGCTTTCAGCCAGGGATCAACCGGTTAGCCCATTCCTTTGATTGCTCCCGCGCTGGAAAATATATCGGTTATTGCTCGCTTCAACATGCAGCTAGAGTCTCCTGGACTTCTGCGTTGCAATCGTCCCAGCAGGCGGTGGTAGCGGATTCGCGAAGTTAACTAGGTTTCAGAGAGCTAGACATTAGGTATTTCACTTTTAAGATGCTGGGTTAGCCACCTAGAAAAATTCCTGGTTCGGTATTCCTCGTTGAGTTTGATCTGTTGCAAGTTTGTATGCATTTTAATCAGTGATCTATTGATATGTTTGCACCTGCGAAATTATTGGATTGTTTCGATCTATCCAGGAAATATCTCTTTGGAATCGTATCGCTTTCCATAGCTATAACTACGAAGAATCGTAGGTGAGGGGAAGAAAAATGCAAAATCCATATTACCAACTGCCCGTGATCCAAGCTCCGAATAGCAGTGGCCCCTATACTTATCTAGCTGTTTCCTCACCGTCGTCATCATCCTTACCTTCCGGTCCTCAGTTGTGGTCAACCGCTTCAGCTGCTTCAAGCAGAGCGTCAAACGGATTGAAAATATCTCATCTGATATATGGCTCCGGGCAACATGATCCGGAATATTCACGTCCAGCCATGACATATCCTCATTCACAGGAGTCTTTGTTGGCTTCGCCAGCAGAAAACCCAGGGTTGTTTCCAGAAAATCGCCATCAAAATGAGGCTGTCTCGGGACTTCATATGGTTGCCATCAACCAGCAGCCTCATAAAAGAGCATATAGGCAAAGGCGGAAGGACCCAAGTTGCGATGCGTGTCGAGAACGAAAAGTAAAGGTACGGGATGTTGCGAGTTATAAAGCGCGAAGGCATGTACAGATGATAAATCCATGAACTTTGCTGATCAAAACACGTTTATGGATGGATATAGTGCGATGCTTCAGATTCCTCCAGTTGTACAGAATGCTCCAATCGAAATGTGCGATGCTTGTTCACGAAGGAAACTAACAGGCGGATGTCGTCAATTAAGTCAGTTGCCGTATATAAGATTTGCATTTTGAATTACAGAACTAATCCATGGGTAGGCAGGTTCAAGATCTCGAACGGCAGTTAATCCAAGCAAAACAACAGCTATGCCAGCTTCGTTCAGGAATTCCTAAAATTGACAGCTTGATGGATCCAGTTTTTGATTTGCATGAGGATACTCCAAGAATCCCGGAAGTTGGACAGCGCCCACATCGCCTCAATAATAGCTCCAACATCAATACACCACCGTCCCACGTTCGTTGGAAAATGCGAACTTACGGCCAGGGACTCATCGACTTCCCACCAGCTTCCCCATTTACACATCCTCAAATATTGCTGACTCGGGATGTGCCCTCTCTCCCTCCAGCAACCATTGTGGACACGCTCTTGGAAAATTATTTTTCCCACTTGCACCGCGTGTTTCCCATTGTACACTGGCCGACGTTGCTGAGTGACAACGATCGTGTCTCCCGCATTGGCTCTTTCAGTGGAGCTCCTAGAGAATGGGTGGCAATGGTGTTTGCAATGCTTGCTTGCGGCTCTTTACATTCTCTTGACCAAGAATTGGTGCTAAAGGGGAAAGATTTCCTCCAAACTAGCGTCAGTCTTATTGATGTTTGGCAGGACGTGTTTTCTCTAGACCAAGTTCGCACTGTGATGCTGATTAGCATCTTCTTGTATGAAACGAATTTGAAATCTGCTAGTTGGGTTTGGCTGGGCTCTGCTGTGAAGATGGCCCAAGATCTAGGATTGCACATTGAGTCTGGCTGCTCATCAATGGAAGCTGAGCTGAGAAAACGAGTTTGGTGGGCTTTGTATGCGTGGGAAAGGTCAGCTCGGTATCAACTTGCGTAAGATGTTAGATCCTGAGCTAATGTTTAATCGTACGTGTGCCAGACTAGTGGTCATTGAAACAGGCAGACCTTTAACGATACATGACGAAGATTGCGACGTTGAGCTTCCTTCCGCCAATGAACAACTTACTGACGGAGGCCCATTATCGCATGACGAGAAGCCTACCTTTCTCTTAGCCATCTCTCATGTCATGCGTGCCGTATCTCAACTAACAAAGAGTTTAAAGGCGCCGATGATCTCGGTTGATACATTAGAGGCGTTCGAACAACATTTCAGGATGTGTTTGGAAACGTTCTCATTGGATTACCGAATGGAAGCGAATCATTACCTAGATCCTCGTTCACTACCTCCCATTATATTTCTGCAGAACACTCGACTTATTCTCCATCGCCACAACCTTTCTCCACGTAGCTCAATGGAGGTACGGCACGTCGCTCTTGGGCGTTGTCTAGCCATTGCCCGTGACACTGCCTGCTTGCTCTCCCGATGTATGCGTTTTCCGAATAGTGCGAAAGCTGCTTTTAATTGGAGGTATTTTATAGCGGGTGCAGCAACAACAATATTATGTTGTCACATATGGCGCTGTACTCTAATTCTGCTTTTACGGGGTGACTATGCTGGCGCCCTTGTTTGCGTCCAAGTAAGTGCTGCGATAGGCGATGGAAGACCGGCAAATGCTGCTTGCGGTCGCTATGTTGCATTTTTCCTCAAAATTTTACTGGAGAAGGCACAGAGGAACGGCGTTACAAACCAAGATCACGATGAGGAAATTATAGCGTATGTATCCGGCGATCTTCAAGGCCGAATAAGTGGCAGCTGGATATGGCAAACGAACGAGAATGAACCTCCTTCAGACATTACTCCACCGCAATCCTCATCTTCATCGAAAGCGTCCACTCTTGGGAGGCAATTTGTTGATGGTGTTCGAAATGGTGTTACTCCGGACGTCCCAGAAAAGGAATGGGAGGGATGGGGATGGATTGAACAGACAATCCAGTTCCTCCTAACGGAACAACGACAAAACATCATTGTTGAGACAAAAGATAATGAAACCCGATTTCCAGGTCCTGTTAGGCCAAATGTGCCTTCCAATCGTCCCCCCGAAAATACCAGTCCAGTTCGCAATAGTCCAACTAGTCACTCACTGATGACAATTGCCAACATTATATGATCGAATGTCAACTGAATTTCAGTCAACCTCGACATATGTTGTTTATTGTGTTTCAGTGTTCCAATTGCAATTTGGTATCACAACTGACGAAATTCTCCAAACGTGGTCACCGGGATAGAGACTCACCCAACTTGCAAAGCCGCTGTGTATTGCGTCCCGTTTTGTGAACACACGTAATTGGGGTTAGTAGTTAGGAAATCGATCCCTTGCATCGCCATTTTGCGGAGTTTTACCCATCCCCTGAATCGATTATGCATTGCGGCGCATCTTCCTTGACCATTGCAGATTTCGGGGTTCGCTGAAGCCCATTCCTCGCACGTGCACTTTCCACGAATGAAAGATGAAAATATATATATCTATCTAATGCTGTTAGGTGTCGACGGGGTGTTTATGGACGGAGAGAATGCCCTCACCCTCGCTGCCTTCGCCTATCTTCCTTCTGCAACACCCTCCCTTGGGCTAATCCTACCGGTTTCAATCCAACGCTTGTCAAATATTAAGTTAATGACATGTACATATCAATGCCCATTATGTTTCTCTTCTGTTAAACTTCTTATATCCTTTTGCGTCTGTTAGCCAAAAATACCCTCTTCTTGATTTTGTATATTTCTTAGCATCCGAGATACCTCAGCGATTTCCTATATTTTTCTTTGTTTTGTTTGGGTGTGGAAGGGAGGGTTTGGAGAGGGTTCACTGTTACGGGATTTGCAGGAGGCAACATGAATATTCACATGTATACAAATTTATACATAGTAATCCGATCTTGACTCTGACATCCTGATGTTCTTAAAGCTGGATTGAAGTAAGTTTAGTATATATGGAAAGGAAATGAAAAGAAAATAAATCGGCCATGAGGTCAACGGCAGCTATGAATCCTTTGAAAAATCCACATTTTCAGGAAGCCCAGTAAAATTTAACGTCGATTTCTAAGTCTCGAGGTTAATACTCCTGCCAAATCTCGCATAAAGCGCAACCTTCAACTGCTGTAGCTCATCTCTCACGTCGCTTAAGTTTTCTTCGAGCTTGCTGACTTCATCGTCAATTCGCTCCGTGGCGGCTGTGAGGAGAGATTGTGCTTCCGAGAGGGGAAGGGAAATGAATGAGTCTCCAATTTTATATCTTTATTTTTATGTTTTTTGAAGGTTAGCTTATTGAGGGGAAGTAATGGATACTGGCAAGATGAGCAAGATAAAGGGAAATAAGGAACAATTGTAACATACGGTATCTTTTCGTCCTCATCAGCAAGTTCGAGTTCCATAGACACCTCCTCAAGGTCTTCTTTATCTTTCTGTAGCATGCAAAAAATGATAGTGGACACAGGATTAGCAATACAATCACACATAGACGCTAGAATTTTCGGTGATAAGAACACATTTGTAACACTGACACAGGCTTTAAAGACTGTGAGCAGATATGTGCACGACTTGAAGATTTTGCATGCAGGTTCCAAGAGAATGGCCAAAGACGTGACGTTATCATGATTAATCAGAAGGCACATTCTGATATAGCTCCGATTCATAGAATACAGAGACATAATCTCACTCGAAAACAATAATAAAAAAAATAGAAAGTAGAGACCTACATGCTTGGTTTTTAGCTGCTCTTCTAGCATTGTTTCCCGCTGGTGCAATCTGCTGAAACGATTGATTTTTTCCTGGTCTTCACGTCGGACCTCAGTTTCATCGCCACCCGCCGCTGCCTCGTCCTCCTTTGAAAGCTATGGAATTCGTAAGCCCACGAAACATCTGGAAGGAAATTGTTTGGGGTTCGTTGGTAGGGTGAAAGCGCAGAAAAGAGAAGCTCGCACCATACGCCGCTGTAGCATCATAACGTTCAAGTTTTTATGAGGTGCGGGGATATTAGATTGGACGATGTCGAAGATTCGTACAAACAGAAGCCACAGGTATGGTCACAGATGTTACTGGGGATTAGGTTTTGTTTATTTGGATTGTATTGCACAGCGATGCTCAACACCCTGCGGGTGAGTAGTTTGATCCAGCGGCCTTTGAGCCAAGAAATGAACTAAAATTAACTAAAATGGCCCGTGTATTATTCAACTCTCGCATGTCTGATCTACTAGTGCCATTTGTTGTCTGCACCACTCGATGCCATCTGAGCCTCGTAGTATATGATCTTTTTCAGTATGTTGGAAGACCGAATGGTCTGGTCTCTCTATCTGTCATTACTTGCGCTTTATTGTTCTCCCTCCAAACAGGGACATTCTAGCTGCACGAAAGTGTGAACCAAGATATCTCTACCACCTCCACTCTGTATTTCCTATGCCCACTTCATTCTTCTGAACTAACCCACTTTCAACACTGTAATCATCATGAGCAGCAACAACAGCAGCAGCAGCACTGGCAGTTGTTGATGAATGACTATTTAAGACTATCCTAGTATGCTTAGCCTCTTTCTAGCTGAGTTGGCTCTGACTCTGTAGTACAGCAAGAAAGCCGCTAGAGTTTTAATTATAATGAAAATTTAAGTATATATGAGTTGCGAATTCAATAATCTTATATATAGTACACTGTGATACTGTTTGTTTTTGGGTGTGACAGATGAGCACCTGTTCTTATGAAAAATCATGTCCTTGTCAACTGGTTCAGTATACATTTTCCCCCTCCTCTTGTCACTCCTCGTTCTTCAATGACAAAGATGCAGCCTCTTTCAAACGTATTTGAGACTGCCACCATGCCAGTACAAGAAAATGATTGAATTGTCAAGGTGTATTGTTTGCTCTGAGAAGGCTAGAGGAGAGTGGTAGGCCAATCCATGCATCATCATTACCAGCCGAGAGATGAGCCAGGAATTTGGATAGCGCATGTTCGTTACAGGCAGTGTAGACCCCCTGGGCCTCAGATCAATCCTTGACCTCAAGAGTTTGAGTGCATCGTGCAAATGCAGGTTAGAGCGCTGGAACCAGAGCAATGGCAATCACAGTGTTGTGATCTTCAGTTTGATCGTGTAGAAGACAAGGGGGAGAAACAGCTGGGAGCAGGCGCGAGAGCATAGGGCAAGATGTAACCAATGGATTGGACGTTTGATCTTCAATAGAGCCGATCTGAGTGAAACTCATCAGCTTTGCCGTCATCGATATACCAGTGGAAGGTCCAAGCGGCAAGTGGAAATTTGTTCTTTGTCAGGTTGTCACGTGCTCTATAACCAGCCTGCCACATCACTAGTCCCTTTTTGTTGATAGTCTGCTCTGTAAGCAGGCAGCTTCAATTCGGCCAAAAGCGGACGGTGACTACTGCCAACCTTTCAGTCGCGCGAGTATTCGCTGCAATAGCCTGTTAACCTCTGGCATCTCCAACTATCTTTTGAACAAGAAAGCTGGCGCTACCGTGGTCGTCCTCCTCTTGGCTGCCTTCACAGGGCACACGAGTGCAGCTGACCACCCTACCATCACTCTCAAGTTCCATCCACGTACAAATTACCTCGCCATGAAGATACAAGCAGAAGCTCATTACCTTACACTTCTGCTTCTCTTTCCGGCCCTTACATCTGGAGTAACATTAGATTGTGACCGCGTCGTTGCTGACGGCAAATCATGGACCCTAACTCCTTTGGCTGGCCCTCACTCCGTCTACCATGTGGTTGAACATCCCCCAACCACCATCAATACCACATACACGATTGACATATGCAAACCGCTGAAAGAAACGGAGTGCCCATCAGGGACAATGGGTCGGTTATACCGTTTATTTTCCTAATTTTCACCGGTTTGTTGCTGATTTTCCTCTTGCTGACCGGTTTTCTTCCCTCAGTCTGCGGTGTGCAACGGTCATCGGATGACAACAAACTATTGGGTGCTATTCCAATCGCGGGTATATTTGTCCAGAATTCTGGCAGGAACCTCAATCCCAAGGTTACGCGGCTTAAAGCGAGCGATTCCCAGCATGAAGGGCTACGGATCGAACTCCACGGTGGGAAATATCCTTTTAACGGCAGGGACTATGATCAACAGGCCGTCGTAGAAATGACGTGTGATCGCTCGCGCAGCGGCTTGGAAGGCGATTGGGCTGGCAAGATGGCTACCCTGGCCGATGAAGATGGACCTGGCGATGATAAAAAAGATAGTAAACCAGATGATGACAAAAAGGCCGAAGAGAAAAGTCTTCGGTTTAAGAGCTACGGACAGGTTGATAATGTGTTTGTTTTGAGACTGGATTGGGTAACGAAGTATGCTTGTGAAGACTTCGAGGACGATGGAAGCGGAAAAGCTGCCCACTGGGGCTTCTTCACCTGGCTGATTGTGATGTGAGTACTCACTTGATATAACCCTCGAGTTCTCCCTTGCCCACTTTCCCATAGAATACTTGGATGTTTTCTTGCGATTGTCATCAATTCTCTGGATATTGCAATGGAACTAACAATGCGTCGTTACAGTGTCTTCCTGTGCACCTCTGCATACCTCATTTTTGGCTCTTGGTTGAACTACAACCGCTACGGTGCTCGTGGCTGGGATCTCCTTCCCCATGGCGATACCATTCGCGATATCCCTTATATATTGAAAGACTGGGGCCGGAAAGTGGTTACCACCGTACAAGGTCCTGGACCGCGAGGCGGCTACAGTGCGGTCTAATTAACCGAACGAGGGAAGGAGTTTTCTGTTTTTGATTTCTTTCCTTTTTAATTTTGTTTAAACCAGATGTATATTCGTTTCCCTATTATTTCCTCTATTTTCCATTATTTAAATCTTTACCTATTTACCCCTTCGGTTTATTTTTATCTGCTGTCGGTTACTTGGGAACATGAACTTCTTACTACTGCATTGTCTTATGAATTGCATGCTTGAGTGTTGCTTGCTGGGTACTGTTTGTCATATTCTGTTTCAAACAGCTCGTGTTTTTTTTCTTTTTTTTCTTTTTTTCTGTTTTTTGTTTTGATTTTGTTTTTTGGTCGCGCAGGCTGAAACACCTTCCCGTTATGTTAACGTCGATATGAAGCCCTCGTCTGTGGTCAGTTGTGGCCAACCACACCCATGCTAAGGTATGGTGTGCAGTCCGTCATATCCTGGCATATCCCAAGGCTCTTTTTGGCACACTTTATTATTATTATCGAGCCTACTTCTGACTGCGTCCCAGGCCCGTGTCGCACTACACCTTATTTTATCCGTTATCTAAACCCGCAATCTCTTCCATCATGCGTTCTGTCCCTTCTTCCATTCTTCCCCAAAGTCTCCCCAGCATTTATCCACAAATATCCACAAAACTATTAACTAGAACGGCTTCGGTTGCGACATGGGTTTGCTTCTCCTGTTTATTTACATACACATTTTTGATCCTTTAAATGTCCTTGCCCTGTTAATCAGCTGTTTGCAGTGCCTACGTAGCTATGCCTCTGCTCTGGTTGCTATTGGACGACCTTTCTCTGGAGTTTGTGATTTTAGCCCTATCAAATATAAACTTATACCTTTCAATATTTCCAGTTTTCCAGTTATATCATAGTAGTTTTCAAATTTTCTTTTCAAGAACTGATTTTATATATGCGTGTCTATCCCCCTCCCCCTCCCCCTTCCCCTCCTCTCCCTCCTCCTCTGTATAAGTTCTGGGCAATTTATTCTACATCCCAAGAGGACGAGGGGACAACCGCACCCTGTCTCTACCAGGCTATGCGTACGGACTTGACAGAGCATGTTGCACTGTGTGCAGGTAACTATAACTACTCGTGCTGGCAAACGCGAGCATTTCATTACCTAGCCATATGTGCGACAAATCCGTGGACATTGCGGCTAAAGGGCGTTGGGCGCTGAAGTGAAATTTAAAAAACGTAGGAGAATCATAAGTGGAGTGAATGGGAGAGACAGCACGATGACGGAAACAAAGCAGCTGCCATGGCAAGCTTTAATCTCTCCATCCGTGGCAGATGGGAGGGCGTGGCGCATACAGAAACGGGGAGGTGGAAGAAAAAAAAGCTGTAGGACGAAAAGGGGTTTAAAACGTGGCCCGAGAGAGAGTTTGCCGCCTGCAAGTAGTCTTCGGTGTTTTATTCTGACTTGAGCAAAAGTACTGGGCTCCCAGTTTCATATTCTGGCTTCGGACACAGGGAGGGAGAAAATATGTAGATAAAAAAAAAAAAAGAAAGAAGGACATTAAAGGGAGATGCGCATCAGACCAAAAAAATTAAAAAATAAAAAAAAAAATGAGAAGAGAGATAAAAAACGGAGAAAGAGAATGAACATCCAGGTTTTTAAATCTCAACAACTCATCACAACCACCCCAAGAGCATTCACTCAAGCCTTCATGACGAATTTCTTCATATAGCGATAATCAGCCATGTTACGATCTACAGCAGCACGGATGATTTTCGCTCCTTTTTCGCCGTACTTCTCACGCCACTCTTGGTCAAATTCAGCCTCAGTTTTGCGTGCTTTCTGCTGTATTTGATGAAACACAAGTTGTCAGTGTTCGACATGCTGTACATGTTTTCAGGAGGGGGTGAATGGGGTCTTAAAACAAAACTTACATGGTTTCTAGCTTTCAGCTCAATGGAGTGGATGGCGTCTTCATGGAATCCTCTCCATTTCTCGAATGCCTCTATGGCAATTTCATGATCTTCTTCGGAATTCCAGGTGAGCATTTCAGGCGTATAATCTATTCCCACACTCTTGCAGTAGCGCTTGATTATGCCAGCGGGATCATCCAGTAAATCGTCCGCGTCAATGACACAAATTTCAGCTCTTTTGGTATTTGCTGGCACCGCGCTACCATTGACGCCGTCGCCGTTTACGTAGACTCCATTTGATGCTCCAGTTGCAGTTGCGTTCCCGTTGGCGTCATGCGGCCCAACAAGCCGTATTTTGCGTAGGTAGTCGAAAACGCGGCGAACTTCATCGTAGCCTGCTTCGGATTCATAAAAGTCGTAAAAGCCAGTAATGGCGTCGAGTGGTGGGATCGTGCATCGATAGTAGGATGGGATGCTGTAGTGGGGATCACGGATCAAAAAGGTGAAATGAAACTTGCCGAGCATTGCTGCCGGAACAACAGTCGGATTGTCGACCTCCGCAGGCGTATCGTACGGATAAGGTGTCTTTTTATTGACATTGGAACTTGGTTCCGCGGCTAGGATACTGACGGGGTCGACAACGTTGCCATCCTGCGTGCCCACACCGCGTTTGATTTTCAGTAAGGATGGAGCGATGCTGGGGGGTTGTCCGCTCGGGGGAACAAGATAGTGAATGATGTCTTTAATAAAAAGACGTTTTCCCTATAGTTCAGTAAGTATCAGGTAATCGTTGAGCGCTCTGGGTGCGGAAGACACGTCATTCAGGGCCAAAATTTGTTCGAGCGCACTGTGGCAAGGCATGTATCAAGCTCAAATGCTAAGCACACGACGGAACTAGGGGATTTTCTGGGGATCATTCAGTCGTGGAGGGGGAAACAATGGATTCTCGACATCGACGACAGAGGTGGTCGATCGAACACACCAGGTGGGTGACCCGTGGTATCAGAACACAGCTTTAGGCGTGGATTAACCCCAGATGAATGAGAAGCATCGCGAATCACACATCGACAATAATGGAATATAGTATATACGCGTGTAATATGAAGAGGAGCAAAGAAAGGTAAGAACCAATTTTCTCAGCAATCAGAAAAAGGGTCAAACCTCAGCTGCTTCTCTCTCGAGCCGCTCAAATATCGACTGATACGTCGAATGGGCAAAACCACTTTCAACTCTAGCCTTCTCGTCACCTTCATATCTACGGCTCATCCTTTCCGGGCCAAAGTAGAACGCATCCCCGAAGGGCTCATGGACACATTGGAGAGTATCACGACGCTGCATGAAGACCTAGCGATACGGGTTAATTGCAGACCGACACATCCATGAAATTGAGGGGTAGTTCAAAAATACTCTTTCGAAAGCCGTGGAGCAAGCGCGAGGATGAGTCGCAACGAAGATTGGACGGTTCGACATGTTGAATGGTTTGAAGCAGTGAATAGTTATACTTGAAAGTGATATAGATGATAAAAATGTCTAGTGTTTCTACGGCGAAATAGCACAGCCGCGATCTTCTGCTACAGTGTGTGTACTTCTTGTGTTTGATAACAAATTGGATGAAGTGGTTTCTTGAAGCGGGTTGCAAAGGAGTAGAAATTTTTCCGGGGAGTCGCGGCAGGTATGAAGTTGGTTTGATTTTGGCGACGAAGGGGATGCAGAGTTTGAACAGAAAAAGGTCGCGGGATGGCTGGATCAATATGACGACGATAGAGCCGAATACGAGATCCACAGTGGAACGCACAGGCAAAAGTAAAACGGATTCAATCGACTTGGACTCTTCGTCGTTCCCGGGTTGCGTGGAGAAGCAAGGAATTTTTGAATTTGCATGCTCCTCGCCATGACGTCGCTGCGCAGGGTTCCAATCACCAATCACACCAGCAGTGGCTTCGATATCGAAGGCCCCTCGTCTTAGCAATTTGCCCCCTCGTTCGGCCCGCAATCTGACCAGCGACGGGGAAGATCGCTGGGAGTGGAATGGGGGTTACATAGTACTAACCGCTCTGAATTTCCCACCAATCCCCTTCTCCGCATGGCCTATAGGCACCCCTGGAGGACTGGGTACTGGGGCTTCTCGTCCAAAGCCCATATCGTCAAGGCTGGCTGCCCTGACATCTTTGCATCTACGATCCCTTGTGATTGGATATTTACAAAGGTTCGTTGGTGCAGGACTTGATATCGTGGCTGCCTGCCTTACTTGCTTGCAGCGTGTTTTAATTTTCAACGTTCATTTGTTCCGCCTAGACACGAACTACTGATCCGTACTATGTATGTTGATATCAAGCCTTGAGCCTCTCTGCTTTGTCTGGGAAATTTTGTGGCTGTTATATAGCGCTCTCGATAACCTTGGCTATTCCCCGCCGAGCGTTTGAAACGCCTTGTCATCCAAGTTTTTAGGGTTCATTGGTGTGGGTTAGGTATGGAGAATGAGGAGACCAAGTGTCAGAAATGATAACTATATCATATCGAGGATTCTGCTGATTGCACTAGCAAAGATCTTGTAATATCTTGCTACTTGAAACTGAATCACTGCTCCAGTGTATACCAGCACTGTCTCTATCATATGTTCAAGCATTCTTTTTCTTACAAATACTGCCTGATTATCATGTAATTATTGGAGTTAGAATAATCAATTCAATTTATCTATCGGACTTTATTCAGTTCCGACAACAAGGTACAAGGTTACAAAGCCAAGGAACCACACCTCATGTGCCAATAACAAGTTGAAGGCAGCATGCAGGCGCCAACCCTATGCAGACCTGAATAGTCGAGTTCGCATATCTACCTATGTAGGTAATCTGTAGTCAAATCGTATACATACCTAGGGTGTGTACAGCCGTGTCAAAAATAAGCCAGGCAGCAGTAGTCAAGCAAGGTGTCGAATTGCTGCTTTTGAGTCGCGCGATCATCATCATCTCAAATCAATTTAATCCCAAGTATTGTCTTCGGGCTTTGTGAGTAACGTATGAATGAATCATCGCTGAAGAAACTCTGTGAGAATATGGGGTACTTCTTTGGTGATGGGCTCTACATAAACTCCCTCCGCTGCTTCAACTTTTTTCCTCTCTATTTCTATTTTCTTTCCAACCTTGGAAATTTAGAAATATTTAGATTTATTACTAGAATTAGCTGTTGCAGCTAAAGTTACCTATATAGGGTGAAGTACAATGTACATACACACATGTACTAACTTCTCTCGAGCTTCAACAACAACTCAACAACACGCTATAACACTCCAGCTCGTCTCATTTTCTTTCTTTCATCCATCATCTCACAACTTCATGAGTTCTCTTAGGCAACCCTCTGCTTTCTCCTCGAGATATCGCAAAGATTTTTCAAGCAAATTTATTCCGCTCTCTATCTTACTCCTCTCCTGTTGACCAGATAAAATCCCGCTTTCTACTGTTACTCCTCACTTTTCATTGGATGCCCATGTCGAAAAAAACAGGAGAATACGTCTTCTGATTCCCCCGGGCCGTCTGTGGCTTCTTATCCCTCAAACCCATCAGTTATGAGCGCGTCATCCAGGGACTCGCCGTTTCCACCTCCCCCAAACATGGAGTCCATCCGTGAAGATATTGCACCAAAAATTTCAGATCAGCTGTTTTGGTCGCCAGAAGATGGCTCTGGCCGTAAAGGTGTACTCGATCGCATCAAAAGAAAGCGCCGATTAAAAAAAAGTATCACTCTAAACCCCGAACAACTTCATGATATCCTCAATTTCATAGCCAATAATCAGGATGAGGGAGGCAATGTGCTGTGGACCCCGGAGATTCTCTTCCGATATGTTCCAAGTAATTTTGAGGGTTCTTATAGGGCAGCGAAGTATAAAGATATGCCTTTGGGCCTGCTTTTCTGACTGACCTCTGATCCGATTCCTTCACGGAAAGTCTTCCATCTCTCCTCTCTCATGGATTCGGACACCCGGAGTTATTCTCCAGCGATGAAATTCTGCCTGCTGTTGTTCGTTCTGCTTCCCTACATCCTTGACGGTCACTTTCACTAATGGATGTCAAAGTGCCTATCGATACATTCGTCTTGTCGGAAATCTGATCGCATTTGCCCGGTATAAACCAATCCGTCCACCGGATCATCACCCGTCTTTCACTGCCAACAACATTACAGTTATCATACCTACCCTAGAAGGCTCAGGAGAACAGTTGGTTAATACTCTGGAGTCAGTCCTGAAGAATGCACCTCATCGAATCATACTGTCAACCATTGACCGAAATCGAGAGAAAGCCGAGCTTATAGCAACGTCAGTGCAGAATCACAGATCTAAAGTGGAAGTGGCAAGTGTTTCCAGACCAAAGTAAAGTCATCAGATTGCAATTGCAGTCGAGAGAGTTCACACGGATATTGTTATCCTCGCAGATGGCGACGTTCTTTGGCCTCCATGCCTTGTGCCATGGATTCTTGCTCCGTTCGAGGATCCTTGCATGGGGGGTGTGGCCACATGTCAGCGTGTGCAGACACCTAACAATCCAAGGATCTCCTTCCAGTACATCTGGTGGTTCCTGGGCGCATTGTATCTAGAGCGAAGAAACTTCGACTGTACTGCGACCACGTATATGGATGGAGGTGTTCCCTGCCTCTCCGGCCGAACGGTTGCCTATCGCACGGAGATCCTCCAATCCTGCATGGAAGCTTTTGTCAAAGAGACCTGGTGTGGCAAATCGCTCAACGCGGATGACGACAACTTCCTGACGCGCTGGATGGTCACTCACGGAATCAAAACCTACTTCCAATCCCATCCCGATGCCGAGGTTCTCACGACACTGGAGGAGAGTTCGAAGTTCCTCAAACAATGTGTGCGATGGTCCAGAAGCAACTGGAGAAGTAATCTGCGCAGCTTGTTTATTGACCGGGCCGTCTGGTGGTGAGACTCTTCTCTCTCCCTTCGTCGATCTTCAAAAGCTGACTTTTATCCCAGGAGGCATCCATGGAGCACTTATGCAGTGTTTCTCACAACCATATCGCAATTAGCTCTCTTAACTGACACCTGCCTAATCTGGTTATGCCACACGATGACCATGTCGAACCCAACGCTACACACTTGGTGGTTGGGGGTGCTTCTTATTTGGATGATTTTCACCAAGTTCATCAAGCTTTCTGGCCACTATCGCCGGCGACCATTAGATTGCCTCTTATTCCCGGTCTCGGCCCTCTTCGGTTATGTCCATTGCTTCATCAAGATGTACGCTTTATTCAGTCTTCACGAGGTACAGGTCATTTTCTTTTCGTTCAGTGGCAGGTTATTAATATTTCATAGGACGCGTGGGGAAATCGCGAGGCTTTCAGTTTGCCAAACCAACGACAATCGCCAAAGGTGATTAGTAACTGCATGGCTCCTATTTTTGTAGTTATGCCTGGGCGCTGCGGCTACCATGGATCACGTGCATCCTCGTTCTAACTTAATCGCGACAAACGTTCCTTCTGGAACTTAGACATCTAACAAATTTACTGATGCGGTTGAATTGTGTATAGACAGATTTCAAAACACAATAAATTATATAATATTTGTAATATTTTGCCAACAGAAATCCGAAGCCCTGTCGTCCAGCAGCCCATTGCGTGTTGGCATCGATGGACAATCTTGCCATAAGGCATTGGCATATATTGTCTTCGACGGGACACTCTTCAGCAAGAGGCTCTTCGATAGGGACAGTACTTCAATAGAAGTCTTATTCGGCCAAACGTTTCTTACTCGGCTTTTTGAATACTTGCGTTTGCTCAGTGAAAGAGCTGGTAGGGGTAACACCTGCTGAGTCATTATAGCGTAGCTGGCTTGACTGGCTGTCGTCCGCTTCCAGGGGTACCGATTCAGTGTTGGATTGTTGGGAGAAGTCAAGTTCAGATTGCGATATATCAAACTCCACATTAGGGGGAATCTGATCAATCGCTGAGCAGATTCTTTTTAGATGAGTTGGCATCCATATGTCATAGACACTCCTCGTGAATTTGTATGCCGCCCACTTCTCCTTGCCATCTTGTTCCGTGAAATCAAATTTGCGAATCGGGTGGCGGTAGAAAGCAGTTCTGTCTGCTCCAAGAACAGCATAATGGCCATAGATCCTCACTGCCGTGTGGTCATGCGAGATTGAAAATGCGACAATCTCTCGATCAACCTCTTTTTCGCGCTTCACCAGCCTAAATAACTCAACAATTGCTCTCACTGCTATAGTTGCGCTGTGGGCATTCTGTCGGTCGGCGATATCAAGCGCCGCTGCGCCACACTTGACCTCACATGTTAGGAATGGGAAGTACATGTAAAATGTTGCCATGAAGTAAGAAGTACAAGAATCAGCAATCTCGCCAACAAAAGGCTTGAGCTTGTCAAGTTGGACATCTGTAAATGCAGACCGTCCAAACCCCACAGAATAATCAGGCTGCGGACGAGGTTTAGTTACGGAAATGGAGTTATCCCAGCCTTCATTAATGCTCTCAATCAAGACCTCGAGATGTTTCGCGCCATATATGGCTAGGGTTTGTGCTGAAGGGACGATCAGCCGAGAAATATCCTGAATGACCTTGGGTTCGTTTCTGTTTCGTATCATTTCACAAAGATTGTCAAACACATCATCCCGAAAGAGCGAATCTTTAGGGATCGTTTGCTCCGTTTCAAGTAAGCGTTGACAAAGATCTCTGCTTTCATCTATTATGCCCAGCTCCGACTTCCCCATAAAGCTACCCTTGGTTTCAAGGATGATTTCGTAGCGCGGGTTTCTGTAAGGAGCACTCTTCTCCTCCCGTGGCTTTTGATCGCTGGGTGTGGTAGAGCTGGCGACAGAGCTAGATTCTGATTGTTTACGGCGAAGAGAAGATGTGGATTTTTTCCTTGCAAGTAGGTGGTACATGTTGCTACCCTCTTCAAAATATTCCTTAGGCCAGATTCCTTTCTGCGTCCACCAGTGGATAGGATTAATCTCGTTCCCGTGGAGACTGCTTGCCGCTTCCTGGCCAGGTGTGTCCCCAACGGAGTTCTCAGCAGCAGAGCTCACAAGAGATATTCGCAGTCGATTTTGAGGGCGCTTCGCAGGAATATGGAGTGAATCTTCGGCTTCTCGCGATCGCTTCCGTTTTCGCTCTTTAGCTTGCAAAGGGGCAGACGAATTTTGTGGTAACTTGGCCTTAAATTAGTTCCATAGCGCAGCAGGAAGAAACTATCATACCTGTTTTCTGGGAGAGTCGTTAGTTGGACGGTGGTTGTTTCCATCCTGAGATACAGTTTCCTCCTGAAGGTGACATATGCGTGTGCTCCGACGAACAGGCTTCTTGACACCTTGAGGCTGCTTCCCTACAATGAATAGTCAGTCAAACGATGCTGGTCGATGCACGGGTGGCTCACCTTGCGAGATCTTTCTGACGTTTGCCTTTGTTTGACACCCAGCCTTTCTGGCGTCTGACTTTGTTTGACGCGGGGCCATGCTGAATGGGAGGAGAGGGGATTAAGAAGCAGTTTGGAGTTGTCACCGACTGGACTTGTCTGTTGACTGTTTTCCACGATGGGACAAGGTTGGTATGGACGCTAGAGTCTTGGCAATATTCAACTGTCATAATGAAAAATAACTAGCGCTGCTACCTGATGCACAAAGTTAGTGGCCCCAGTAGAAACGTTATTAATGCACCACTGAGTCGAATAAATCGTCAGACTTGCGGAGACTGTTAAAACAAGAGTTCGGTCATGAGGGTCGAGGATGTAACTTCTTGCTGTTGATGTTTCGGGAAAAAATATTTTGCGTCACGAGGCAACCACTTCCAAAAGCACCAGATATGATTTGCGGCTGCGTCCCAAAACATGCAGGTAAATAAAGGATATCCCGACCTCAGACAAATAATCGTAAAGCCAGATTTCAGAACACAGGGTGAGGAGCCAACTGGCTAACGCCACGATGGATTCGTAAAACTTTTCTGCGCTAGCCATTTTGCAGGGGGGATCGTTACAGGAGTCCTTCTGTTAGAGGCAATTGAACTTATTATATCACTTTGAGGAGGGGTAAGAACACAAAAACGTAATCTTTCACAAACGCAGCGAGGAATTATTGATTTCCACTCATCTAACGCATTGATACCTGATCTACCCACATTTCGTAGTTCAGTGCTTGTTTGGCTGGATGTACTGGAGGAGGAATCAAAATGAGTATCCATTTGCCCAAATTCACTAGGATTTTCTTGTTCAGATCACATGAATAGTTTTTGCCCCTCAAGCGACATTTTACTTTTCGTCATCGCTTACTTCTCCCTCCGGCTCTATACTTTTAAAGCTTCGAGCTCCATTCTTGCTCAACTCACCTAGGGGACCTTCTTTATCCAACTAGCACATTCTCACAGCATAGTAACTAAGGTAAATACAATCTCAACCTTCTTACCTATCACACGTACCCCAGCTGACTATCCAGCAGCAAGGCGCCCGCATTCTCCATGTTCAGGTAACGGTGCGATACATTCATATTACTTCCCTGAACGACCGCTCGCTGTTTTTGCTGGGTGACATTTTCGTGGAAACTGAAGTTCGAATTAGAACATATAGAGTACTTGACAAGAGTTCCTTTGCGCAAAAAGGGCCAGGATGACAAGGAGTGAACATGATAAGAAATTGTTGAAGGAAACGGCCAAAGACATGGTAAGCAATGTTATTACTCTACATTGACAATATAACCGAACTCCGACATAGCTGCTACCTTAGATGATTCCGATATTTCAACTGTGACTGATGAAACCGAGGATGCGCAATGGAGCTTTGCTGCTGCAAACAAAGATGTGGAAGATGAAACCCAGATTCTGAGCAGAAACCCCAAAAAATCAAGGGTGGGTGATATAGCTGGGAATAAGATTGATTACTCGGCGTTTAAACTGAAGCATTGTCAGCTTCCGTCGGCCTGTATAAGCTGGTGGATTTAGAAGACGCATCCAGCCCTTCTATATCCAGACGCAGTATATGTTGTCTATACCGACCTAGGCTATGCGAGGCACATCTGTCATCGCCGCAAATATCAACATTTGTATAATTGCCTTCATCGCGAGTCCTCTATGATCGTTTGGCCGTTTGGGGGTTTTGATTAGTAGACAGCTCAGGAAAAAAAGAACGGCTAGAAAGGCAGAAGTGGAGGGCTACAATAGGTGCTGGAGTGGGACGAGCTGTGTGTAACCATCAATATTGAGCAGTTTTGACGAATATAAACTGTTTATTGCAATAACCCTTTGCGAATGCAATCACCATCTAAATCTACCCTAGACTGGGGGCCGATGTTTATCAGGGCGCTCGGGCCTACTCCGCTTGTGACTCATGATTCTCTCTTTTGAGCTCTGCTGTGCCATTCGCCCTCCTCACATCGAGATGTCAACCAATGAACCTCCCGCCAAGGCTGGAGCCTAGTCGACTGCCAAATGGGATCGGATTTGTCGGAAATTTCGTTTTGTTTACATGAATCACGCTCTCCGTCCGCTGCAAGTTTGACTTTTTCGCCATGATTTTGTGTTTTCCCTTTTGGATAGTTCAATAATCTATGAAAGTTAGTGACTTTTAAGATCTCATTTCTAAATGGATACTCCGTAGAGTGGAGGGAGTCTTGTGGATAGACCGCTGCATCTTTGGAGAACGCCTCGCCTCCCCATTCCAACACTGGGATCCACCCGCAAAACGGGAATCGATCGCCATGCAAAACACGAATGCAAAGTCGAGCCCGTCCTGGCCGAAGGGAAGGGTTGGCCGAAAAAGGGGGCGGCCCGATACCTGGAAAAACATTTTTCCTAGACAAACCTCGTCCATGATTATTGTGGGATTATTATTTTCAACTCGATCTGGCTAGTGGGGGCTTACTACGACCAAAGTAGAAACTTTTCTCCCATTGGGTATTAAGAGTTTCCCTCCAAGTCGATAGAGGTGGTTATGTGCGGGTTCCTGGCTCCAATGATTGTATGTACGTGGCACCGCACAATTGGACAAGGGCAACATGACTCACAATTACCCGCGGAAGAGGCGATGATCATTCCGCGCTCTGAATCTTGCTGAGCAGCATGCGTTAGTGAGCGGAACGGCCCGGAACGCACGGGACGAGCTGTTCCCGGCGGCCTTGGCATGGCGGTTACTTATTGTCATTGGCTGCAAGCTGTCAGACGACCAGTTGCTCCTCCGAGTTTACCAACATGATTTGAAGGAAGAATTGTTTGCTGCCTGCATACATCCATGCTGAAAGACATCTGCCACTTGGCCCATCTGTATTGGTAAATGGTACTGTGCCGCTGTTATAAGTACTATCATACCACCCTGGCATTTGATCAGTGTCAAGGTGATATGCTCTTGAACAGGCAAACTTCCAACTGAGCTTGCTTATAGCAGTCTTCCATCCCCAAACCTCTACAGTAAGAAATGGCCCTTTAACTAGAGTGCAAGCATCAGTCTAATGAATTTGAATGCTGTGGTACAGATATGAGCAATAAAAAGCGCCTATTTATCTCTATTCACCACTGAGATGAAACGTCTCTTCAAGAGGGAATACGCAAGACGTACGGTGCATACCACTGAGGAGTTTTGTTAGCACCTAAGAAATCCAACGGCCGCGACAACATGGCATACGACGTTTCGGACGGCGTTCGGTTGGATGATGAAACTGGGCAAGACCTGAACTCGGAAAGAGACTGGTTCTTCAGGATTAAGAACAACGTGAATCCGCTGGACAGTGGGCGGTTAGTCGGTCGGGTCATGATCGGAAAAGTTCCTCTGCAAACGACAGAAAATGATCTCGAAACCATCCTCAGGGGTGTTGCTCTGCCGGATAAGGAATCAGGAGAAAGATGTCGCCATTGGGTTTGGAATGCCATATCCACTCTACAAAATGAATCAGTGATACCGAACTTTGATATCGAAGAATTCAAAGTCTGGATATTGGATTATGCCAATCAATGCCTGGCCAACCCTAGTCCAAGCAATGTTTGTGATTATAAATAGACAAACTAGTTGCGCGAAACATTTCCTGGTTCATCGTAGAGTCTCCAAAGAAGGCGTTCTGCCATGAGCTCGTCCGCATATGAAGGAAGCTTAAGTTTGATGCTCTCGGGCCAGTCCGGCACCTTGAATGAAGTGTAATATGCCTTCGTTAGATCCCAATATTCTGGGTACCAGCCTGCAAGTGCCCAGTCAACAACTCCCACAATTCTGCCATTGCGAATGATAATATTCCGCGGGGCCAAATCTGAATGCGAGAAGAACGTCCGATAATTGTTGCTATGACAAGATGCAATATCTTCCCCAAAAATCTGAGCCGTGTTTTCCAGTGGAACGCCACCCCGTAAAAAAGAGTGGAAGCTGGAATGAGACTGAAATGGGCCGACTAGTTGACTCCCAATACGGTAATCAAGAATGGCACCACCCTGCGCGGACGCAACCACTCCTTCTTTGTGGGGATGAAGTGTTCGAAGTTGAGTCAAGATAGTTGCAATATCATTGAGAATGGTTTCTTTTTCCTTGGGTTTCAGGCCGCGCATCCACAGAGTTTCAAGGTCGGTACCTTGATTGTGATCCATCATTATATATATGCCCCCTGGTCCATTGTATGAACACCGCACTCGAGGAACGGGAATTGTGGTGTGTTCTGAGATGTAGAGAAGCGCTTCAAGTTCTGGGAGCTGGCACGGCCCTTTAATAACATGCTTCCGGCCGACCTTAACAACAGTTGGACCTAGGGATCCAAAGATTGACCGGGCTATTCTAAATCGAGTGTGAAGAATGATGGATTTCAAATCTAATAGCCATTCAAGAACAAAGATGGCGTTAGCATTGTCTCATTAGGTGATAGGGATTTGATTGAGCAAACCTTGTAATGCCATCATTTAAAGCTCTGAGGGTCGATTAAACACAACTGGCCCAGTACACTAGTGTTGGAAGGGATCAAAGACATGAAGAAAAGGGTTTGCATATAAAGCCAGCTCCTCCCACTTTGCTTCATCTTCCCTTTTCTCCTCACAAAGACCACCCCAGCTTTGCAAACCATCAGACGCTACATTTTTATCATGAGTACACGGACAAGTCGAACTCGTAAGATCAAGGGGTCAGAGGCCGGCCCAGTGGACAGCAGAGGCGGAAATTATTCCTGCGACATAGAAGAGCCATGAAAGGCCATATTTTGGGCATTCAGGTGGCTTCATTTCTGAAACTTTCAAACTATGTTTTCTAGATCGTTGAAATTTCCTTAGTTTGTGGTCTTTTATATATATAATTTCTTGCTAGACTCCTTGGCAGTAGCTCCTTCTAAGTCATTAGTAGGTGCTCCTCTCTTTGGAGTGAAAACGTAAGTAAATTTGTTCTAAAACTAGGTATATGGGCACGTGTCATAAAGCCTTCAAGAATGGGCAACTTTTCTTTCTGGACTGCAAAAAGTTGCAGGCCGTCATCTAATCTGTTGTCGATAATTATCAGGCGTCTTGTAAATCGGGAGGGGGTAGTGATACACCTGCGCTAGGTCAATAAAAGCACTTAAACTGGATCCAAGAGTCGTACAGTTTGCTCCACTGATGGTGGCGGATTTCCATTTGTGTATAGGGTGAGGTATCGATTGTTCACGTAGATGATGACATAGACATCAGCACTGCATTTATCACTGTACTCCACACTCTTTCTGAAGAGAGTCTCTCTCCCTCCGCGCCTCTTTTTAGATGATGCTTGATAATCTTTATATGTCTTGCGAACTGTATGAGGATAGTGCTTCTCCTGCTCATTGTCAGTTGTGAGTGGAGCTTCCAGACTAAAATTGGAGCTCATACAATCTGTTCTTCTGAAGGTGGCCATGTACCACCTGAATCAGTGTTCAAGATAAAGTATTGGCCGTGAATGTCAATTAGAATATAAACCTGTGCCTCGTTCCCATCAGTGTATTCAACAATTTTGTGGAAGAGACATTGTCTCCGCCGACGTCTTCTCTGAACAATGCCCTGGTGTGGCGGTAATCGTTTTCGACTCTGGTGTGACATCCTGACTCCGGCATTTGCTGTAGAATCTGGCGAGGAAGTGAGTTCAACCGGGCCCTGGAGCGGATGCGGCTGATTGTCTTCAAGTGTCAGCTGCGGCCATTCCATATTGACTATCAAGAGAGAACGGAAGATCAGGAGAATGCAGGTATACAGAGATATACGTCCAAACTGAAGGGTATCCGCGAGAATGCTTTGCTCTCCTGCAAGCAAAGCGCATGGTATTTATACGGCTTAAATGGAGTGCACAAGACGACTGCAAGCCCAAAAGTATTTCCCCTCTCAGGCCTAGGAGCAGAATATAACCACGACCATGTTCCTTGAAACCGTGGTTCCATCTATACCAACTTCTCCCCATCAGCCGTCTGCCACCATGTCAAATTTTCCCCCGGTATGATCCCAGAGCACCATAGACATGGAAAAAGGAAACTGTGCGTAAAAGGATGGCTATATGCGAGTGCAAGATCAATCTAGCCGTGATGGCCTGCTAAAGCTGGTTGTCACTGCAATTGGTGAGTCCACAGCGGCTATTTGGGCACCCAGGCGGCTTCGCGTCTGGAACTTTGGACTTCTGGATTTCTGAATTTCTTCACTTCTACATTTTTGGTCATTTTACATACTTACATTCTTTACTAGTCACCCCTTTTAGCAGTCGTTCCTTTTTCCTGTTAGCATAGCATCTTTCCGCAATACTGGAGGTAGCAAGAAAAGAGCAGCGTAGCCTAATTCGGAGACTCGGCTCCTCTTCTTTTAGTGGTAAATAGAGGTTAATGGCACAGGATAAGTAATACTATCTGAATCTGTCTCAATATAGATCCAGACCGGACTCATAGAATGTCCTAGATGACCCATGTGCTTTTGAGGTATGGGAGTAGGGTGACCAGGTTACGCTTTCGATCACGGGGCCAAAAAGTGATGCTCGTTGGAAATATCCAAGGAGGCCCTTCGACAAGAGGACGAATCCAAAAACAGCTCGCACAACGCCCAGCATCCTTCGCTGGAATTCCACAAGTTTCTTTGGCTGTGGTGGATTGTAAACGCCCTTCTTTCTCTCAGTGCTTTGTGCAGCCGCTGAACAATATGCCGCGGAACAAGAACAGCTTCGCCAGCAGGAGGAGGAAAAATTGGCCGCCGAACGATATGCCGCAGAACAAGAACAACTGAGGCAGGAAGAGGAGGAGGCAAGGGCGGCTGCTGAACGATATGCCGCGGAACAAGAACAGCTTCGACAAGAACAGCTGAGGCAGGAGGAGGAGGCAAGAGTGGCCGCCGAACGATATGCCGCGGAACAAGAACAGCTTCGACAAGAACAGCTGAGGCAGGAGGAGGAGGCAAGAGTGGCCGCTGAACAATATGCCGCAGAACAAGAACAGCTTCGACAAGAACAACTGAGGCAGGAAGAGGAGGAGGCAAGGGCGGCCGTTGAACGATATGCTGCGGAACAGGAACAGCTTCGGCGAGACGCGGAAGAAGCTGCAGCTGAGCAAGTTAACCGAGAGCAAATTCAGCGTGAAGAGGAGGAAAGGCATACTGTCGAGAGAGCTGAACAGGAACAGGTTCAAAAGGAGGCCGAGGAAAGGGCAGCTATTGGGCACGCGGCTGGAAAGGCACGTCTTCAACAAGAAGCGGAAGAAAGAGCCGTTGCTGAGCAAGCAGATCATGAGCGGCCTGCAAGAGAGGCAGCGGAGCCAGTACAGCTGCAGCCGGAGGAAGAAGAGAGGGCGGCTGTGCCAACAGCCGCAGAGGAGACGCACACCCCACGGCCCGTCACACAGCTCGACTTCGCACCCTTCATGCCCATTAAGGGTGATGGCGCTCACAGCACCGTTGACCCTGCAAGCACTGAGCGAGCGACGAACGTCGCAGACCCCCCTCCAGAAGTTGAGAGTCGAAAAGCTGCTGAAAGCACCGCCGGATCAACACGGTTGGAAGTCTCCCAAACGCGGCAGGGTAAGCTGCGGAGACCTGGAGGCATCCCAAAAGCTTCGGAGAGAGGTGTTTCACAGGGGACTGCGACAAGAGCCGCTGCCGAACGATCTTTGAAAACGGGCAACAGACTCCAACGCTCGCAGCCAGATTCGCAGCTTCAAGGGGCATCCAGGCTCGAGGATGTGTCAACCGGCGCTAGAACGGTCACGATCATTTTCAAGGCTCGCGAGCAAGGGAATTGGGTTGACACATATAAGATGGTTATTAACCCGTCCGAGCCTTCCGACCGGTCCATGGTGGAGCGAATGGCTAAGAAGGATGCTTGGAACCGACTGGCGACCTTCTATGACAAGAACTTGAAACCGATCGCTCCTGTACAGTGCTGTGACGCGGCCATCGAAGATGGGACCAACACCGTCTTCATGGTGTTTGGCGGGGAGTTGAACGTCGACGAAGAGATGGTGGCGTCTGTGTCACAGTATGCCGACAGCGAACGAGAATGAGAGAGAACTAAGCATCGTGCGTGATCCAAAATGCGGGAAAGTCCTGGGGCATATGGTCGTGGGTCCTTGGTCGCCATAGGACCACAGAAATCGATTCAATGGCCTCTGCTGTCCACAGGCCAGCATGGCCCCAAGTTGGCCGTCTTTGGGCCTACCAGGTCCATGGACCGCGTTCCATGGACCAGTCAGGGCCTATGGGCTCCTGACTCCAGCATGGCAACCAAGGTCGGTGGACCTACTGCACATGTCCTTAAGCACTGGTCATAGTACCCCTTCCCTTGTTCCTTGAGGGCTTAGTCATACATGTATGTCACGTGATAGGGATTCAACTCCCCCTGGGCCAGGGACCAGAAGCGGTCCTGGCGCTCAAAAGAATCCCATAGCGTGATTCATCCTCACTCTACCTTCCTGTCTCTTTCTCAATGTAGTCTGTACCGTCTTTCTTGCTGGCCGGGTACCAGATTGATCTGTGTCAGGTTTTTCAGTCATACCTGCTCCCCCTGACAACATGTTAAGGCGATCCACCTGCTCATTGTGTGTTGGTCCAGCTAAGGCTTTGGTGAATATATCGGCCAAGTTATCCTTTGTGGCCACTCGTTTGGTGTCAATGACACCTTCTTCCACTTTTTCGTGTATAAAGTGATGTTTGACGTCAATGTGTTTGGATCTGCTGTGGAATTCTGGGTTTTTGTTAAGTTTCAGGGCTGAGTTATTGTCGATATATAATGGGACCGTGTCAATTTGAACCCCTGGAATGCGAAAAAGAAAAAAAAAAATATATTTTCTGAGAAAACAAAATCAGTTTTGTCCAGGCCATGGAATATATGTCTTTAAGAAGAAGTCTTAGTTGGTTGATAGACTTTTTCTCCTGCCTTCTTAATCGTTCCACCTCTTCTAGTTGACACAGGACATTACTAGGATAGACAGGAGAAAAAATGTTCAAAAGCTTGCCAGTAATATTCTTCAGAGCTGTAGTATCAATGCCAACTTTCATGTTATGTGTGTTAAGGTCCAAAACCCGGGCGTCATCAAATGCCACAGATAAAAGAAGCCTAATATAAACAACACACACTGGATATCCTTTGCCCTTCTCTAGTTGGAGAATTTTGTCGACCTCGAATTCTTGCATGCGTTGAAAAAGCTCCATTTGTATTGAATGGGTAACAGAGCAGCACTGAATTTCACCATCCTCACCGATAAAAGGGACTCGGGCCAACGTCTTTAATAAGATCAAGAACATCAATGTAGGCTGACAATCACGATAGCTCTTGGTATCCCATTTGAGAAACTGCAAAACTTCATGAACAATCCCCCCCAGGAATTTGCAGGGTATCCCGGTCATACAGGCTAGGAATGCATCCAAGGTCCTGTATGGTATTAACCCACGAATCCACGACTCTCACTGGATCGATTGACAATCTTCGACCAGAAGTGCAATAATTACACGACGTAGAGATGCAGGGGGTATTCGGAATGTCAATTGCTCCCTGGGTGACAACAGATGGAAATCCAGAGCCAAAGCGTATCAGAATATTAATCGTGCGGTCTTCGATACTGCTATGGATCGTTTCTTCTGAGACCTTGTTAATATGGCGTCTAAATATTCTCAAAGATAGAACATACCTGTCTTCTCAGCCGAAGTTTCTGGTAGTGAAAAGGTAGCATCTGTCATCTTAGCGGGGGCTTTAGAGTGACAGGTAATTTGAGCTGGCAAACTAATGGAAATCCAAATAGCATTGACTCCATGACAGGTTTGGGAGAAAGACAGCAGCATTATATCTCTGTAAGGGAGGGGAAGCAGAGGCCCTGTATTTGAATCCATCACAGCCACAGGGCACCAGGGCAATGAGAATCGCATTTTCCAAGCGAGCGAACAATCGACCCTCATCCAGATCCACATTTGGCCCATGTGTGCTGCACGCTGAATTGCCTGTGGAAAAAGCAATCTGGTGTGTCTTCGCTTCGGGTTCAAAGTCACCGGAATTTTGAGACTGGTTATTTGAGATCCCATCCACACACAGCTGCTTGGGCGGGACGTCAAAGGGGGCTGCAGCCTTAAATCAGAAATAGAAATAGAAGGTGGCATGATGGGAAGCATAACATGTTTGCCAGCCCCAAGGGATGCATCCTGTGCCTTGGCCTTGTTCCTGTTACTAAAAATGGACTTGATCGCCAGCCCAAATCTCCAGTAACTACACTAAGTTGGAAAGTGGGGCCAACGGCCTTCCAAGTCCCTTAGACCCACTTCCGGCAGCTGCTAACGGTTAGTCTCGCAAGCATTAACTTGTTCAAGGGATTGCCACGATGCACTCATCCTCCTCTTCAGAAATGTCAACAAACTCCTTCCAAAATTTGATATATCTATATTTTGTTTCACCTTTCCAGAAGACCTCCTGAATTAAGTCCTCATCTCCACCACAGAAAGAGGTGAACTATTCACATCCATTATTGGCCGACTTCGTCTTTTTACAGCAGACGAAAATCATGCAGCCATTGTTGTAAATCTGACTCAATCGCCTTCTGAGTTAGACAAAATACGCGGATAAAAATGCTTTGAAGAAAAACAAAAGTGGGAGACAAAGAAATGAGGGAGAAGAGCAAACAAATACTGTGCCATGGGATGTAGGCAAGATAGACCATCGGCTGGAATGTGATAGGCAATATCAATAGGGCTCCTAGGCCGGAATGAAATATGAGAAGTGAAAGAGCATATGCTGATGATCTTTCAAACGAGTACAAGAAAAAACCTTTGCGCTTTTTCACCTTGGAATGGATCATTCTTCTTCATGTACAAGAACCGTCTGCTCCGGTTCCAGTGCATAGCAAAAGAGACCAAGGAAGAGATTTCCATCTCCTGCATCGGCGGATCCGAGCAAATCCTGAGAGAGCTCCTTAGTGATTGCCGAGCCGAGTATCTAAAGCGTATCCAGAAAAAGACTACAGTCTTTGAGCATCATGATGGTGAATGGAGGAAAGCGAAGGCAAGAGACATCAGACCAATTTCGACAGTAATCATGGATGAGGACGAGAAAATAGCCCTGCTGAAAGATATCGAGGGTTTCCTGGACGAGCGAGCTCCAACCTTCGAGATCTGTACCGGATTGGACTCAATCAATCTATACAGTTCTTGCAGAGAGCCGGTCAATAATGCCTTTTCAGCAGATGTATAAACCTCTTAGTCAAGAGGAGATGGGCTACATCCGGAAGAGGCTGGAAGAATATACAGATGAAGTGAGACGGCATATCCATAAATTAAATTGGTTTGACTGTGCAGTAATCCTCGCGGACGCCAGGACCCTATTTTCATATATTGCGCTCCTGGAGCCGATGATCAAAACCCAACAGGTACAGTTGCATTCCATACTTGAATTGAAGTGTGTTAACCGACACTGTGATGGACTGCGGGCCAGGAAAACTGTGGAAAGCGGCGGCGACGACATTAGGAACCAGCATGTAGATCTGCAGAGATTTCTGAGGAGAGGTGTAAATAGTTGAACAGTCAATACAAGCTTGATGCCAGTTCAAAACAAACAGTATTTTGCGGATGACTCTTTCTCAGCTCCACCAATCAAGCAACCAACTATCGAGGCCATGAAAATACCCGCCAGGTTGCAAAACCGTATCAATACCATTACACAGTTTCAGCTCAAAAACGCCTGGACACCCTAGGCCTTGACAAGGAGTTTAGACTTGCCACTGAATGATGTCATCGTTACAGAACCTTCCAGAAATTAACACCTACGTTCGGATTCCCTGATTCGATGGTAAGGAAAACATGTTGTTCTATGAAGGAAAGACCGAAGTGGCTTACTTCATTGCAACTATGGCAGTCGTAGGCTGGAGAGAGTTAATGTTTTCTTCAACGATTTGGACAAATTCGGATCTGACGCTAGTGGTAGGAAAGCCTGCTGGACGGATCCAAGCGGTCGTCTTATCGACGCACTCCACCACGATGCTTTTCCCGCCCTTCTGGATGGTCTGGATGAGCTGGCTTGAAACGTATCGCGCCGCCATCGTCGCGAAGAGCTAGGTTCGTTTTTTTAAGGATGAGCAATGCTTTAGGATGTTTGTGCGAGGTGGACAGTAATTCCGAATCGCAGAAAATGACGTCTCTGTGTGCCTACAAGGACATCCTTCAAGCGCTCGCTTTATAAATTTTCATGCTCCAGGCAGCAGTTTTGACTCTGGTGCGGTGCCGCATTTTTCGAGCGACTTGCTGAACATCGCAAAGGAAAGAGCATGGCAATCGAGTTTTATTGGCTAGAGGTGGCCCAGGAAGGACGGGATATCGATAGCTAGGCGCTTACCCTACCCCCAGATCACTCAGGAGCGATGCATTAAAAGAACTCACATCCGTCCAATGATTTTACTTGCAGTAACAAACGAATACGAGAATGAATTGACTAGCTCGTAGCCTACCACGACTCACTCCCTTGACCAAAGGTGAGTTGATACATAAACACTAAGGGCCTCATGTTGGCGTCTCCTTTTGTTGAAATTTTCTCCACTCTGGCGAGCATCAAATGAAAGAGACTAGCGCCTGCTGAATTGTTGCCAAGGATGTCGAGAGGCCCAATAATCCGCTTAACACCAAATTGTCGAAGCAGGAAGGATGGTCACATGATCCCGGGTAGGGGATAGGAGATGATCAACCAAGCAACGCCAAGACCACCCCCAATCGGGAAATATGTATGGCCAGGATGGAATCGGTTCGTGAAGGCGGAGTTTAACGCCAATGATCATGCCTGATTGAATAAGTATACCGGGTATGGGCAGGGGAAATTGGGATGACTTGATTCACTCGCAAGGGCCGCCTAGTTCGTCCGGATGGGCACAGAACATAAATGAATATCTGGTGCCCTCCGGACCATCTGTCCCATCGTGCAACTGTCTCTTCAGCCAGGTATATACTCAAGATATCACGCAACGTGTTTGAATTCTCAATTTTGCCGACATGGGCAGAGGCCTCTATGACACAACTGGAGTTCCCAAACCTCATCCTCCCGTGCGCGCCGAGAGAGGTTTGCACGTACACTCGGTCAGACAAAGATACAGCAAACAAGGTTGTAATGACGGCCGAGAAAGAGGTTCCCCAGCTATTGGGTACGACTTGCGATCACGAAACATTGCAGCACCCCAAGGATCTCGGACGTTTTCGCCAGCCATACGAAGAAAAGATGCTCCCACGGCTGAAGCAGCGGCGTCCCACCGACCTACGGGCGGTTATAAACGCCGACACATTTCCCAACTTTGAGCAGCCAAAATATCAGCCCACGACCGCTGCCACACAATTGCCTCAGCACTACCACAGCTCCCCCTCACATGTTGCCACTCAAGTCCGATCGGACAATAACCCTTCGGTTTCTTCTAGGACTCGTGAGCAACCGACCCAATTCCTGGTGCCGGTAGCCTCCCATGCAAACAGCTCAAAGCAGGCCTCCAATACACTCGGTGCTGATCATTATTTTCATGAAAAGCACGCCACAATCATCCTACCATGTGTTTCGCCAGCCGCAGATGACCTCATCCTCAACACATTCCAATCAGCAGCAGTATCCCACAGGTATTTCTCTTGCTCCATCGCAACCGGGTGGATTGAGACGTTCAAAAGATGTTCCTCCGACGACTATGCCACAGGCAGCAACAGAGTTTGCGGAAAGATTATCGCGTATAGGCGTCAATGTCGATCGGAAATCTACGTCACTGGAGGCGAGAGAGAAACGGCTAAAAAATAGCGTTGCCTCTAAAAGGTTTCGCGAGCGGAAGAAGACTCGGGTAGATGAGCTAGAAAAGAGGGTGGAGATATTGACAGAAGAGCGTGATCATTATCGGGGTTTATATTATCAGTTGAAGGAGAGCAGAGACATCAAACACTCAATCAGCCTCCCTTCACTCACGCTGGCGATGTCTTGAACTGTTTTTGCACATCTCTCCGGGCATAATCCAACCAGTCTGTTATAGAAGTTAATTTGCAATTTTCACGTCTAGTTTTGTATCAATGCTACTGTAGAATGTTGGGAATCTCCCGCACCCCACATACCTTGCTCGAATCCCTTAGGATATCCACCTCATATTAGCCGACAGTCCTGACATTTGACACGCCATTCACCCACAAAAGCGTGGTACAATCACTCAGGAAAAAGTTTTCTGTGATAGCCCTGTTGCCTTGACCTAGCGTATCGGTCCATTCCAAATGTTTCTCTATTTTCCTTCAATTAATCAATTCCATTGAAAAGCGAGGGTTCCAACTGTCAAAAGTGTCAGGAATCATCTCTCTGGGGTCAACGAGGCAGGTGGTAAACTTTGGCCCACCATCCCCAATATGGACTAATTAAATCACGTGATGCTTAGTTTTTCTAGCGGCATTCGCAATTCTTCACGCCCAGCAGCATTACAAAGGCTAATTCGGAGACTCGGCTCCCTTTTCTTTTAGTAGCATAACATTGTAAATAGAGGTCAATGGCACAGGATAAGTAATACTATCTGAATCTGTCTCAATATAGATCCACAGAATCTCCTAGATGGCTCATGTGCTTTTGAGGTATGGAGTAGGGTGACGCATCGACGCGAAAGAAAATACCGATCTACAGGCTTCTGCAAAAGAAGATTGGGATGTTGCTAATCTCAAGTGTTTGGAAAATTCTCTTCCATAAATTCGGAGCGCACTTGTGGAGATGGTGCAGACCTTTCACAACCGCAGCATGACAAAAGCATTGAGTGATTGATGAAAGCATTTTGGCTCTAGATGCGAGCTCATTCCCTCTACCCCATGATACGTTAGGTAAGCTCGCAGAAGCAGTAGTATCAAGAGCTTATATCGAGATGAGTCGCGTGCATCTTGCCATCTCCGCTCTCAATCATCATTTGAATCTGAAGCATCGCAGCCACATCATGCCCGCCTGGGCTATGTCCATATATTTGCTCCCCGAACATTCTCAGCTGCATTGGCATATTGGAGTTGCCATAATGCTCGATCACGTCTCTCTTTTCGATCGCACATCCTAAGTTGCTCCAGCCGCCCTTCGTGCCCACTGCCACACATTCTGCCACGTTCCCCTGCGACCACCATGCTGGGAGCAGACGCGAACGAGTGTTGACAAGCCTAAGGAAACGCTCAAACCCTCGCCGACCGTCTTGTACTCCACTGTAGATACTGTCCATGTCGACATCGCCATTAAATTTATATTCGTCCTCCATACGTAAGCGATAAGTATCGATAAGGAGCTTGTAAACGTCATCTTTCGGACGATCGTGCATCCAAGTTCTGGCATCAAGCCGATGAAAAGGCTTGTCAATTGCAACAGATAAGCCTTTCGATGGGATATTACTCTCAGGGGATGGTGCATTGCGTGCACAAGTTTTCTTGTGTGTCTTCCAGTCCCTCTTTTGACAATCACGAGAGCAGTAGAATTTTGTCTGACATTTTGCGCAGCGTTTCAAGTTGACATCAGCAATGGCGCAAGTACCACATTTCTTGGAGTCGGTATTTGCATCAGTCATGTTGCAATTGTGTGAAAACAGGCAAGCAAAGTAATATTAATCTTCGGTATCGGATGGCCCAAAGTTTATCATTTCTGGTGGTTCGGTCCCGCCTAAATATGAGGACAAAGGTGCCCCGCGCCAAGGATGACATGCTTGCTGACGTAACGTGACTCACCACCCAACGAACTCATCCACCCAACGAACTCCAAAAAGCGCTCTATAGAGCCGTTAATTTTCAACTGTAGCACAACAATGCAAGAAGATATTAATATTATTTATTTAAGATTAAAACTATATGTAGAATACATCATATAAATATATATGATTAATTCAGAGAACGATTGCTTGGCCTAATAATCCGCCCGGAACGTGAAACTCGTGGTTTTGAAACGGTTGAATCGGATCGCGACGTAGAAGGTTTCAGAGAAGGAATATCATTTGATTCCACTGGGGGGGCCTGCGTGCGGCACTTATTACCGCTTTTAGAAGGTTGTATAGAGCTTCTACGGTGTTTTGAGCCCACTGTTGATCTTCTTGTAGGCCTCTTTGAGGCCTCCGCGAGTGCCTTCTTTGCCAACTGTGCTTCATGACGTTTAGCAGCACGTTCTCCCTTCTCTTTTTGCAGTTGAAGCTTCTGTTCATCTCGCCGTTGCTTCTCTATACAACGTTTAGCTGCAGCTGCAGCTTTGGCCTCCTCACGGCGTTGAGCAGCTTCTAAACGTTCCTTCTCACGTTGTTCCTTCCGCTCCATGAGCTCTGTCTGCTTTTGCTCACGAAGAATCGCTCGTTGAAGCTTCATATCCTCCTTGCGTGCCTGATCATCGATTTTCGCAGTTTCATTAGCATCTGCTTGCTCCCTCGCGGCCTGCACCTTTGTGGGAGAAAAGAATTGAGCAAGTGAGGGATTTGATGGATTAAGCAACCCCATACGCTTACCCTGTTTGCGTCGCCTTCTCTCATTATTTAGAGCAGTCTGAAGATTCTTATTCTCTATTAAGAGAACCTCTCTGTCCAGAGCAATATTCTCCCCAGCGCGGAGAATTTTTTTAATATCAACTGAAAGTCGGCGGTGACGTTGACTTGCCTGCTTTATCAGGCCTCGCAAAGCTCGTATAGATGTAGGTGTACGCTGCTGAAGCAGTTCCGGGGGTGTAAGCGGACGTGGTTGAATCTTTTTGAGAACGCGGGCAGGATCTATAGGATGTATGCCAGTGGCCATGAAGGCAGATTTGATATTTTCCGCAGTTGTAGAGATTTCCCATGCAGCACGAAATAATCGCCAAAAATCTCGCTTTGTAGTCCGAATAAAGCCATAGCCAGAACGTGTATAAGAATCTAGTTGATCTGAATATGCCTTTGCAAGTGGGCCAAATATTCCAACATCTAGCGGCTGTAAACAGTGTGTAGAGTGGGGAGGAAGAATAGCAAGCAAAATTCGATTCTGATCCGCATAATCAATGAATGCCATATTTATATGAGATGAATGGCCATTTAATATAAGCAGGCGGTAATGATTTCTTGCTTTTTGCTTTGTATGAGGATCAAACACCTGTTTCAGCCAGGTTAACCCATATTCATCATTACTCCATCCATTTTCTGAAGCAGCGAAGTATGCCTGATCCTTTTTAGGATCAAAATCTTCAAGCCACGTATCTTGCATATCTCTTGATTCCCCGCGGTAAATGAGTGCAGGTGGAATTGTAGTTCCATCTGCACAAATACCGGCAAGCAGAGAAATGAATTCTCTACTGCCATCCTGCACTGCTCCAATTGTATGCTTTCGTTTGAGAGCTTCTATAGAAACGATTCGCTTGAGGGTACGAAGGAGGCCAAGAAGAAAGCCTTTTCATCGAAATTGTAGGTGTTCTGGGGTAGGATATTATACTGCTTGATCTTCTCCTGCAACTATTCAATAGAAGTCAGCAAAAAGCTCATGGAATTGCACGCGAAAAGAAGCAAAAAAACTGCAATTACAAGAGTAAAGAAGTGTTCAAAATAGTAGCTATTATCTGCCTGCTTTCTCTTTTGATCCAGAGCACGAAGATAGATGCTCTTGATCTTTGCTTTATGCCGCTCACAAAAGGGAGACACCCAGTTGATTCCTACTTGCATTTTGGTGATCTCAAATACAAAATTGCGCAGTATTTGAGGTGTCACAGGGAAGCCGCGATCGGATAACTGATTAATATGAAATAGGAGGCGTTGTTCTTCAGTATTCGTGAGATTCTGACAGTAGATTGATGTTGCCTCTGTTCTGGAGACCTGTTGACCTTTGAACCGCCGCATCAAGGTAACGCGATTGATTCCGAATTCCTTTGCAACCTCAGCATATTTAGGAATCAATTGTCGATTCAATTGAGCGATCGCTTGCTCTATAATTGCTTCGTTGGGCGGCATGGTGGGTGGTTGAAGTTGAAGAGTTGCAGGGATTCATGGAAAAAATAGGAGTTCGTTGGGTGGATGAGTTCGTTGGGTGGTGAGTCACGTTACATCGGTCGTTCTATGCCAAGGTGTGAATAAGTTGAAGTGCCTATCACACCAGTTGTTCAAATACTATCGTTCTTTTCTGCGTCCAGATGTCAGTTACGACCCGTTATCAATAGAATGATGGGAGTTTCTGTTGCACCTGTGGCAGAACTTGAACCACTGCCGCCTCTACTGTCCACTGGGTCGGTCTCTGATTCCTCGATCTTACGAGTTCGAGTTGTCCGGGTACTCATGATGGAAGTGTAGCGTCAGATAGTTTGCAAAAGTGGGATGACCTCTGAGGAGAAAAGGGAAGATGGAGCGATAGAGGCAAAGTGGGAGGAGGGCTGGCTTTATATGCCTTCGGACCTACGCTGCCTCTTCCCCCCCCCCAAGACAAATTGGGAGCAACCGCAAATAGGCCGCACCATGTATGGGATTTGTTGGCTAATGAAATAGGGACTGGTTTAGGGATCGTCTTCCACGCTTCCTGTTGATGTGCATCTAGAAATGGGGTTTACAAGATAATTAACTTCCATTTATCGAACTGTTCTGTACGGAAAACGCAAAAGTATAGACAATCAAACGCGATTCGTACGATTCAAGCGATGTTTACAAAATTTGACCAGCTTCTATCACTGATTGAGCTACGGTATAAAATCAGCCAAGGCGGATCTTGCGCCTGATAGAAGGCGAACTCATCAAGATTCAGCATTAAAGCGGCGTTATCATCAGATACAATTTACCGACAGAGAAACGTGAAGCAGAAAGATAGAATATCCGTCCCAGTCCACCTCGCAAGAACGTCAACTCGGAGTTAACATCTCACCAGACAAAACACAAGAGGGCCTCCCAGATTGACCATTAACATCAAACTTTCCATTATACAAGCATAAAACCGAGACGCAAGAAGACTTCCGCGGTGGATCAAGCGTTCTGAGCCTGGGAACTCTCCGCAAGACCCTCGAAAGAGTCAGTGGGGTTGGCAATTGCGCGTGCCCTGACGTAATTCTCCGGTTTTCCTCTTTCTTTGCGGGCTTTAGCAACCCAGCTGTCCGCATCAGCCAATGCGCTGGTAGGTGACGGTTTGCGTTCACCCCAGGCATACTGTGCTGCATCAACAACCGGCGTGCCTGACTGCTCCATGTTTTCTTTGCTAGCTTTAGGTGTTCTCATCTCGGAACATTCTTTCATCGCAGGATCGAAACCAACGTTCTCGTTATCCATAAATATGGGATCACATTCCATCCAAGTGGGTGGTATGTCTGGCATATATTTATCCATAAGCACGGGCGATTCGGATTCGGGGTTGCGTGAGAAAGATATCTCCTGCTCTTGCGGCTTCAACTTAGAAGCATTATTCAACACAGTCTCTGAACACATGTCAGCATATGCTCTCAGTTCCAGTTGAGATATCAATTACCCAGTTCCTGAACAACCTTTCTACCATCTTGCTTAGGGCTGGCAAACCCACCTGCAGTGTCTTCCGAGGGATTGGGTTTGGAGGTGGTGGAATCCACCCTGGTTTCGCGAAGAGCTTCTACGAGTTCTTTCAGTTCGGAATGCTGATACCCATCTCCTGGTGTCACGCTCCGCCGGGGACTTTCATCGATGGGGGTGCATGGAGGTGTTGGCGCTCGCGAAGGGGTGGTTGGCGCTTTGGCATTGGACTTTGTTGGTCCGGGCATTGTGCTAATCGATAGAGTGAAATGTGTAAAGCTTGCAAGCACTAGAGAGCTTGGAAACTGGTCTGGGGAACTGGTTTGATGAGGTCTGCGAGTGTCTTGAATGTCTGTTCATTGCCTCAGGATTCGGGGGGAATCGTGCCTCCTTATAAGCAATTCTGCCAACACTCCCGGCACCTATTCTTTCGTCGTCTTCCTTGTAAATACTAGGATGCATGAGATTGTGCCGCAGGATACATGGTCTCGTCCCCGTCGAAGTGATTTTGTCGATCTGAGAACTAACCGTGTCGAACCGTCTGCGCATATCTAGACGTAAAAATGTTGCCCATCCCGACCTAGAGCCATGCGAGGCACATGTCGCCATACGCCACAAAGGTTGCCTCGATACAAGGGATGCTATCAGCCCATGATGGATGGACGATTATCGCTTCCGTTTGGCGGTCCGATTGGCAGACAGCTCAGGAAAAGAAAATTGGATGCTAAGTTTGTTGTCCCTGAACCCCAGTGCAGCCGGAACAATCGATCAGGAAGAGTTGTTGCATTGCTTCATGCCAGCTGTATCGAATTAGAACTATAGGTTGAGAAACACGTATGAGCGCTTTGCAACAATTGTGCCGTGGGATATAATGGCCAACACATCTTAAAATAGCCTTGCAGTTCGTTCCATGCTGTTTCGTCCTGATCTGTTATGTTCCATTCCGTTCTGTTCCGTTCCGTTTTGTCCGTATCCGTCCCGTTCCCCCTTGCAGAGATGTTCTTCTCATTTCATGCTGACGCTGATTGACCTACATCTTAAATGACACAGAAAGGCTAGTTGGAGCATCGAAAAAAAATATAAATTTATCTTGAGGCAGTTAAAAGTTACCGTTGTGTCGGGCAAGGAAGGCTTTGGATTTTTCCAGAATAATGTGAGTTGCTGCCCAAACCAGACTAATAACCCTCTCAGCCACCCGTGTCACATGAGGAGGGGTTGCCCCTCCTCCCGTGAGTATTGGGAGGAGATTGAGCGCTCAAAATTTTCATTTTTTTGGGATAGGATACAGTGGCTCGCAGACTGATTGACAAGGTTGGTTTGACTTTTCTCCCAAGACTTCTATAAAGTCCACAGCTTTGCAACCCGAAGAATTAATGAAAATCTATCCATTTAGCACTTGTTCTCCCTGCACATCCAAGATAGCCACAATGGCTGCGACTCAGTTCTACTTGAACATATCTCTAGATACGGAAGAAGATGATGAGATTTTGGAGAAAGCTAAAGAGGTCTGCTATCCTGTCTGATTACTTTCCAAGGTTTTTTTGACACTGATATAAGTGCAATCCAGCTAGACAACGCACTCCAAGAATCTCAGGTGGAAATCGACAGTCAATGGACACCCTATATGGTGAAAATGATACAAGGCCACCCGACTGATCGTCTCATCGTTTTTCGTCCTCAAACATCAAATAAAGTTCTCGGGTGCATTAGGGTGTACAAAGCTGGCACTACCACAAAAATATGGGATGTATATGACACGAATGGAACATTTATAGGCAAAGTCCCGAAAAACTGCGCCTTCGAAGCGATGCTGGTGGAGGTGAAACTTATCACGCAGAAGGATAACCGGAGTTAAATATCACGGGTAAATTGTGCTTATCGCCTTCCAACACTGCTTCGGTTCGTGGAATTGATAGAACAAGTGATGCGACATGATCCTGCGTCGGAATTGTGAGGATGGCTGAGTGCCGCTGAGAATTTATCGAATTCTTATGGAGCGTATAGAAGATATCCAAGAGGTTTGAGGGCACAAGAAATGCCATCTCAAGAGCCTTGTTTGTTTCCATATGGGGTTCAATTCTACAGTACATACTTGTCGGGCTTCGAAGACGAGTTGCATGTTGATGCTCAGTATTGGATTGTTCGTTAAAGGGATTAGGGTCTAAAGTTTGGTCCGCTACAGTAATGACATTTTGATCTTAAGAAGTTAGTTTCGTGCTTAATATTTTCTTGTGTTGGGATCTTACAAGAAGGGAGTGCTGCCTCGGCGATAGTTTGTCCTAGCGAAGTGTTTCCTGTATCAGGAGGCTGTGGGCTGGATCCCCGTTGTAGTAATATTTGTTGGCCTGGTTCATCCCAAAGCTTGGAGGCCTGGTCCACCAACGGCTCCGGGAACTGCACTCTTTGTGACCATTCCCTCAGCTCCCGATAGAATCTTGGAAATACAATTTTTGGCAGACCCGAAATGGAATATACAAGTATGCAAAGCAAGAGTGTCTCGCGTCCAGCAGTTTCGTTGACTTTTAGCGCATAACTTCGTGCTTTTTTTCGCCTATGTGCTCGAGTTCTTGAGTTTCCGTCAGCCGGGCCGCTATTAAGAAGAGCTTTCCAAGCCTCAAATTGTCGTTTCTGGCGAAAGCTTAAGGGGTCGGGATCTCCCCCTTCGAAAAGCGGAAGAAGTTTCTCAAGTTTTTGGCGGAAGTTTGCTGCATCTCTAGCAGATTCCATGGCAAAGGATACCAAGTGCATTGAGAGCAAGAGGAATGGGAAGGAACAAGGAGGAACGAAACGAAACAGAACGTATCAAATAGTGAGCGTTTATAGAGGTAATCTTAGACTGAGGCGGTGTTCCACGGTTAAGGGCAAGGCAGCCGCTGACAGGTTGGCAGCGGTCATGGCACCATGAAAGCGAGCATACCTCCACTGAGCCTCTAGCCAGTTGCATCCTGTCAGGACTTGCGCATCTTGATATTGGCAAATCACCTAACATCTGCTTGGCGTGGCTCGACTCAGGGATTTGTTCGCCTGCCATGGATCTATGTGGCTCGGGAGTAGATTTGACCTGACCCGGGCCGAAGCATAATCTGACCACAAATTAACAGGCCTGCAGAAGCCACACCTGTTATCACCACCTGGCAGAAAAAAGTGGTTGAGGGTGGTTTGGGCCCAGGAACACTGCCATCATCCTGCTTTTCCCATTTTGGATTTTTTGGAAGCTGAGTTAATTTACCAACCCTCATTTTCAATCGGTCGTCGGGTTTTGTCGCCTCATTCTACACATGCCCCAATTCCATGATGCACAAACATGCTTTGTCGCCTGCCTTTTTGCAACTGCCTAGCCATATAGATTTTTCGCATGCACAGCTCATTTGAAAGAACACTGAAACACCCGATTCGCCCACAATAACCACGCCGCTGATTTTCTTTGCTGCTTGGCTATTTAACTACTACTCTAGGTGGTGGCTCCTATCCTCATGCATTGTTTTTAAGAGAAACCTATGCGAACTATTGCGCACATCATCCGTAACATGTGCAACTCTCAAACGGCCTAGCCTGCCTCGCTCCATTTGGTAGTTCTCTCGCTAATACAGAAACCCTGTTTAGACATCTTTTGCCCGACTTCAGTTTCAATTTCGGAGCCAAGACATATTGCGAGGTCACGAGCCCATTTCTCAAACGATAAGAGATAGAGCATCCACAGACACAACCCGACCGCGGAAAATATGAATTCTTATGGAGATGATGCTTCTAAGCCATTTAATCACCGCTCCTTCTTGCGGCTTCGGACTTGGTGACTGCTCAACTCATGAGGAGCATTCACTACCACTGTTCTTAGCTCTCACAAGAAACGAAATCCATTTAGAAACTTTTGAAATAGCAGCCCTGTCAGTGACATGTCAATCAAACACGTTATCGTCAATATATTAGTTTTGGAAATAATACTACGAGGTACCAAGTCGTGGATTAAGGTTGATGGTTTATGAATACGTCATGTGATTGACTTGATGCTGTGCCTGGTGAACTAACTAAACCTAATCGACGATAAGCTGTAACCTAGCGTAAGCTTTGTGTAGTGTGTGTGTTGAGTGCGTGTTTATTATTCTTCAGAAGAGTAGGACATTTAGGAAAATATAATACCGCCCCATTAAGCTGTGGGTCAAGATAATGAAGCGTCAAGTTTGAAACCAATGATAGAGAAATATTTTCTGTTGCCAGTGCCACGGCTAGCCCCGTTATTGTCAGAATCAAAAGGCGCTCGCCTTCGAGAAATCTTGATTTTGGTAGCGGGGGTGACAAAGCTTATCCCAAGCTACGCACGTGCCCCCCTGCGAACTGGCCTATGACGTTTCAAAAAGGAGAAAGGAACGTGAGTTTGAGCCGCCCCTGGACGATTTAGTTATCTCGTCCAGATTCATCATCTCCCATCCCTATCCTTTGATCACTATCATATCCCTTCAGTATTTAGCGGGTCTTAAATTTTTGGTGTCTTTAACACTCTCCTTTTATTCACTAATTAGAGTTTACCAGTATTTATCTTGCGCTGCATAAGCTTGTGTTCTTCTACCCCGCCCAGCGCGAAGAGCTGGTCGAGGTTGAGCTTCAGGCAGAATCATTCTATTCTTTAAATCATCGGTCCACCACATATCGCCAGAGTCTCTGCTTTTATCCCCAGCTCCTCATCTCGGGCCACACGATGGCAGCGCAGTATATAAATTACATTAAGACGAAGGCTCACATTTCCAAGTCGACCAGAGACCACACACCAGAACCCGTCCTGACTTCCGATGACGAGGCCTTTTTGCAACGAGTGACCTCCCACCCCGAGGAGGTGGGACGAGATCCTCAGATGGCGCCCATGGATGGCGCAGAGCACACTGAAGACAGTACTAGGATTAGCTCCCCAGAAGCTGAGCAGAAGGGTGTGCAAAGGAGCCTAAGCAGAACGTTGAAGGAGAAAGGCAAGGAGAAGGGAGAGAAAACCGGAAGTCCGAAGGGGAAGAAGATGAGTCCGTGGGGCTGGGTAGCGCAGAATATGGATAAGAGGAAGAAAGTGAGGGCATCTGATACATGTTTTTTTTTCTTTGCGCTGCCAAATAACTAGAGAGCTGGGGCTAATCGTTGTTACACCATCGTTTTTTCTTTCTTTCGAATATTAGGAAAATACCGCGGCAGGACTATCTAGCGTTGCAGAGAACCTCAAGCCTTCTCATACAAAGATAGGAGGGTTGAATCTGGATGAAGCAAAGGGGGAGGAGGACGACCTGACTCAAATACTCGAGCGCCTAAATCTCTCAGCGGTGAATAACCGTGTATTTTCAATTAGCGACGATACGCAGAGTATCCTAAGGAAGTTCAATCTCGTTCTCAAAGACCTCATCAACGGCGTACCAACGGCATACCACGATCTGGAATCGCTACTAACGAACGAGGACGGTCAGTTACAAAAGTCCTTCAACCATCTGCCAGGCTTCCTCCAGAAACTCATCGAGCAGCTGCCGGATAAAGTAACCGAGAAATTTGCACCCGAATTCCTGACGATGGCCGCTGAGAAAGCCGGCAAGAGTGGAATCAGCCTGGAGGAAGCTACGAAGACAGCGGAAAAGGCAAAGAAGATGGGGTTGAGAATTCCCAGCTTAAAAGAGCTAGTGGGGAAGCCGGCAGCGATTGCCGGTATGTTGCGATCTATTGTTAGCTTCCTACAAGCACGATTCCCAGCTCTTATGGGTATGAATGTGCTGATGTCGCTGGCATTATTTAGTAAGGATGGCCTCATTTATATTTTAATCGCCTCCACCTCCTCCCCTCCCTTTCCTTACCTTCTTCCTTTCGTTTCTTCCATTTCTTATTTATATTGACTATTGATAGTTCTCCTTTTCGTCCTCTGGTACTGTCACAAACGTGGCCGTGAAGTGCGTCTCGAAAAAGAAAAGTCCAAAACGGAAGATGCCACGATCATCGATGAAAATGATAATAGTAACAATACAAATAGTGGCAGTGATGACAGCGCATCAAAAGCACAGACCACGACTGTTGCAGCCACAGGCGAAACTGGGCAAGGGCAAGACAGGGCTGGAGTGAGGGAAACGCAGGATAATGCACAGCAAGCGGCCTTCCTGCAACCAACAGCGGCAACGGCAACGGCAACGGCAACGACAACGACGAGCAGTACCATTAACAATGCATCATCGTCGCCCGCATCAACTGCCGAGAACCAGACACGTCGCCTGAAAGTGGTCGAACCATATTCGGGGACATAGAACCAACGTGTTCGCTGGGGATGTTTAACTAGCTTTGCTTAACAAGGGCTCCTATTCGCTAATATTTAATTGATGAGATAGACACGTCGAGGGTGGGGAGGCAGAAGGTGAACTTCTCTTCGTCGCTTCTTCCCCAGACCTGCGACGTTGTGGATCGGAGAGTGGGACGGATACTAGGAGGGGAGGGGAGGGGAGAAAGAATAGAGAGAAAAATACAGATGAAGTGGGATAGCTGACTGCTGGTTTACAGGGACATGTGTTCAGGAACTTTGTTTTCCATGAACAAGACGGTTCGAGTTGAACGGCGGGGTGAGGAGTCAGTAAGCAGGTGTTGTTACAGGCGGTCTGGGACTGCAAGCTTTATCCGATTTCGGACAATTCTCATTGTTCCCTTCTTGGTATAACTTTTCTGCGGTATCTTGGTTAATTCACCAGGAAAGCTTCTTGTTCCTGACATTGAGTTTCATTCTTTATTTCCTTCCTTCTACGTTCTCTTTTTTTTTTTTTTTTTTTTTTTTTTTTTTTTTTTATGTAATGACTTTTGCGAATACCAAATCTCATGCATGTATAATACATGAGCACCCATTTTTCTCGATCCTACTACTCCGTATTGTCCACCAAATATTTGCTTCCTCTGATAAACTTGAGATTGCATTCCCGTGACGCCGGAGATGTAACCTTACGGGATTTAGGCTACTGAAGATGATACAACATCTAGTTAAAAAGTGCGTGAGGATATTAAATTAAAGTAGAGAAGGAAGACAAAAGAGAATGACATAGTAGACCCCAGTTGTTCTTTCGTGCTTTACTCCATCTTTTGATGCGCTCTTAGGTCGAACGATAGGGAGGGTTTCCCACACGAATCTTTGTGTGCTTGACCCCTCCTGATGCTCTCACTCGGTGGCAAGAGCCATTGATGAATCATTGTTGGCCTGGAGGAGACGCTTGCTTGAGCTAGCGCCAACGGTGGACACGGAGACTGTCAGTCAGCCACTCCCTCGCTGGGTCGCTGTCAAGGCACAAGATCACCTTGGAGGTCAAAGGTTTGGGTTGACTTTCATTGGTTCCGACGGGTAGGAATTTTAGTCAGTTCAGAGTAGAACTTTGTTTTTTTTTTTTTTTTTTTTTTTTTTTGGCCATTTCTGATTGGTCCTCCTTCGGATCTGAGAGTCGCTGGAAGAAGTTGACCTTCCAGGGTTGGTGCTGATTTGCAAAGGGAAGAGCCCGTGTGATGTTTTGCCATCTGCGGTCATGGAGTGCATGCTCGGAGGGCGATGTATGTGTATCCTTCAGAGTTGTCTGAGGCAGAGGGCAGATGCAGTAGTTTCATGCATGCAAAGTATTAGCAGAGGGGCCTATAACTTGGCGCTCTCTTTGCATCCAAGGGTGTACTCCGTAGGCTGAGTTCAAGTTGATATTGACAACTTGGTCTAACCTGGCAGAGTGACTGTTTGCAACTTCCTGACTCATCGTATCTATGACTTGGAATATTATGCTTTTATTATACTACTAGTAGTACTCACTCTTAGGAGTCAGAGGGAAGATACCAGGAACGCTGTGCGTATTTTGTGGGCAAAGGTGCGCTGGCTGTTTCCCCGTCCTGTCCCTTCCCCTCCTGAACTCCGTTTGCAGGCCAACATCCCTGCAAGGAAGTATCTCCCCCCCAAAATTGGGTGGAAAGGGACAACTCGTTGCCAGTCGCGCAGCGCCAACCCGAAGATGCGGTGAGCCTTCCAGCCAATCAGCTGCCGAGCTAATCCACGATCGGATTTTCCCCACTAGCCGGAATATTGTAACTACGGTTCCGATCGCCGGTGGCCCAGTTCTGCATTTTTTCTTCCTCTCCTCCCGCAACAACTTCTTCCCCCAACAACATCACGAATTGCAAACCCTAAGTTTAAAGAAGAGCATCAGCAGTTTCTCTTACTACAAATATCGTCGAGGAATCACGCCAAATGGCTGTCGTTGGGCTCTAAATCCCTCACTGGGAGGCATGGCCATGGGCATCTCCCCGCCCGCCATTGCTCTCCCAGTCCAGGAAGCTCAACGAGTACATTTCAATCGACTTGACGATATTTTGACCCTCTTTCGACGGTTACTCCGTACGTCGAAATTCCCCCCAGTATCATCTCAGAGCAAAAGCTTCAACGTCCGTCGAGGGTGGAGGTGTTTCGTTGACTACCATTTTTTTCTCTCTTTCTCCTTCTATCTCAACTCACTCCCGTGGCCTTCACCGCAACCACTTCTACCCACGAGATAGGAAAATCCGCCCGTTGTTATTACTCCGTGTTCCTCTCCTACAAATACATGCTATTTACAGACTAGATTTGTCGGGGTGAAAGTTACTTGCCAATTTTTACCATCCACTTGTTAATCCACCAAGTTCTCACCTAATTTTCCATTAATAAACCGCTTCTCTTCTGATTACTCGAAGTAATCTACCTTTTCCCTGGGACGCGGCCAATTTTCAGACTCAATTGGGTTTCTATCCAGTGGTATGTCTCCTTCGAAGGCTGCAAAATCGAGGCGTTCGCCTGGAAGGAAATCGCGCATTGTGGGAAACCGCAGCGCTCCCTCCCTCAGCGAGAGTGATTCAAGTGCGTCCATCTCGACAGTTCTTGGTCCCAGAATCGTGAAGAAGCCGTCTACTCCCCGCCTCGATAAACGCAAATTCGTCAATTCAGGCCACGGAAACCACAAAAAGCGAAAGCCGTCTTCTGCTCTAAGTGAATGTCCTTTTTCCGACAGCGATGTCGACAATAATAATGATGATGATGACGACGATAACGATGATAATGAAGATGTCATTGATGAGGATAGTGAACAATCCGATGCTTTTGCCCCGTCTTATGGCCGGAAGCCAGGGAGAAACCGTAAGACGGGGCGTCGGAGTGGCTTGTCACTCCTTAAAGACCGAAAACGTGTTAAACTTCGACATTCTGGTTATGGGAGCTGCGCTGAAAACAGCTCCGCCAGTTCCGCCAGCGCTCTCAGCTCGGTCAAGTCAATAGACTTGGATTCGGATGACGGATATGAAGCTGTAAATGATGTTAGCGATGCAGATGATGAAGAACAGGAGATTGAGCTGATGGAAGAAGAGTTGATTTTGGATTCGGAGTACGAGCGTGACCTGGAGAAGACCGTTACCTCTGCAATTGCATCTGGAGTTCCAGATGAATGGTTAGGATTCGATGACATTGAAAACCGTCCTCTTTACTCTACTAGTTCCTTCTTTGAGGACGACCAGCTATTCTTGCAATCGAGCAATATTGACGCTGTCGGAGATCATGCCTTCGCAAGCACCACTGTGGATGAACCTGTACGACATGTTCACTTCGCCGAATCGGATGATACAACAGACTCTAATAAAACTACCGATGATGAGCTCATGTCTGATTTCCTGCAGCAAGATGCCCTTGACCCAGACCTACGAAGAATGATCGAGAATGATTCTGAACCAGTCCGTCACCCAATCTCCAGCGGCCTGCAGGTTTCACAGGATTTCTATGATCTCCCAGGCAATATCTATCACGTGGAGACAGAATCCTCCGTTGCAAGCTCCAGTGGTTATGAATGTAAGCATTTTCTACGACAAACTGCTCTTTAGCTTGCTAACCCTGATTTCCAGCGGATTGTGGTGAGACAACAGACGAGGATTTACCTCCCCCAGCAACTATCACTCATCCTCGATCTATCTTACGTCGCGACTCGAGCGCATCATTGCCACCTTTCGTAGAAGCATCTACCCAGCGCTCACAACCATTACGACGGCGTGGACCTTTAAGGGGCACTTTCGTTGCTGATCCTCATAAGCCAGTTGCCGTCGTTGCCCCTAATGGCGCCCAATTAATCCTCATCCCCCCCTATTCAACTTCTAGACACGACTGGCTTGAGTCAGCTACCCAAAGCTTGTGCAACACTGCCAGCAACAGTCCCCGACCTGCCGCCGCCACCCTTGCTGATGACAGTGACACCGACGCCGTGTTATCGCCAATGCATCCCAGCAACCTAAGCCCAAAGCTCTCCTCTAATGCCAACCTCATGATAACTGCCCTGGGGAGCGATTCTGTCGGCCAGATAACTGGTCCTCCTGAGGCATTCTATCCTTCCCATGGTCTTCTTAGCTTCGACGGGGAAGACGAGGATGATGATAGTGAAGGAGTTCTGAACGTAAATGATTTTATCGACTTCGGAAATGGCTCCTCCGATGAAGAAGACCTGGACAAAGATTTCGACATCGATGAGGACATCGCCTCCGCAGTCGTAGCGGGCTCGTCGTCATTGACCATGAACAACATCTCAATGAAAACAGAGTTCACTCCTCCAGTTAATAACAATAGCGCGGAGCGCCTCTTGAACCACCTTGACAGGGGCATCGTGACTGCATTCCGCCGCAACCACTCACGCTACCAAGCTCTCATCCGACTACCTCAACACCGTGAGTTTGTACCGGCAAACTCACCTTCCCGTCCCGCCAGCGTCTTCAGACGCAGTAAATATATCGACAACACAACCCCCACCAGAAAACGGACAGAACTAACATATTCTGGCGGCGAAGCGGTTCGTCGAAAAATCGTCGAGTCACACCGCAACAAGTCAATCGCCTTGTAAAGGACTAGTTTCCCACAGATCGCGTGTCTGACGAAACTCTTAGTTTATAGAGGATTTAATAAGCATAATATTGGGGGGGAAGATGTTATCTTTCTTCGTTGATGCCTTCTTTCTTACCTCCCGCCCGTCTAACACTCTCGCCTTATACCTTTTGTGGATATCTGTGTGGATATATGTCTTTCACCGCTTCAATTTCTACATGACCTAATACGAATGAAATGACGTATTTTTCCCTCCTCGTTCAAAAGGCAACATACTTCGGTATGACGAATTTATTTGCAAAAGCTTTATTGGGTTTTTTCTTGTTTTTTTCGTTATTTTTTCCCTTTCCAAACGATTTTCTGTTCGTAATCTGAAGCTATTTTCTCACCTGTTCATTCTGTGCCAAACTGTGTCGCTAATGAACAGAAGCTGGCAAAGTTAGAAATTAATAGCACAGAAAATCTTTCATTTTATTTGTTCTAGTCTAGGTTCTTCTGAATGTAAATATTTTTTTTCTTCCATCTCTGAAAAATTTGCTTTGATAATTCAGCTCTTCTCCTTGCGTTCCTTTTCTCCTATCTTTTACCGGCGATCTTTTTGCCTTCTCCTCCTCCTCCCCCTTCTCTTCTTCTCTTTCGAATGACTAGTAGCTTTCGAATCTATAATGTTAATAAGAGAAGGATACAGGCATGATTCCAGATCATGCTTGGTGGTGGAATGCAGGAAGAGCGCGCGCGCTTTATTTGTCAGAATGTCTGGTTGTATGAAGGAATGCTAATGAGTTTGATGGATGAATCTTATAATTCATTTTTTTTTTTTTTTTTTGTTCATATTTTTTGATTCAGGTCTCTCTCAATTGTCTTGTCCGCAGGCTCCGAATTCTCCGAAACATTCCTTGTTATACCCCATAACAGAATATATGTGCTATGGATCTTGAGCTCTTCAAAACACTGACTGATTCATTCTAACATTTGAGACAGTATCATGATAATGAATCAGCTAAATCCACATCCACATTTTCTGAGTGTGAAATAACCGTTCATGTCTGCAAATCGACTAACTGTCTATCTACGTATAGATGACTGATAGAATAGTCTCTGCAACTGTATTATCATGTCTCAGCGCTCTATGTGTAACGGTAGGCCGCTTATAAGCATAGGTGTTGGGCGCAGGCTGGCAGGAAGCCAGTCGTCTTAGGGTCGTTAGCACAATATCTCCCGGTTGGTGCTTGATCATTACGCTGTCACTCTATCAGTCTCGTCTGTAGATGTTTCTTAACAACAAGAATTGTTCTTGCATCACCTGTCATTGCTGCCGCTGCTAGGGCTTGGGCGGGACATGTTGAGGATTTCAATATCCCTGAATCACTGAGATCATCTACACTTTTCCATCCCGCCAACCCCTTCCCTGAGAGATCAAGAGGCCAAATGAGCCAACGGGGGGGGGGGGGGGGGCCACTCTTCGACATCGTACCATGGCAACAACCAGAGGACGGTCTGACGTCCGATGCACAGATGGAGATCCAAGGTCAGCTGTTTCATCATGGACTGGATATGGACTGGATATGAGCCTGCATCTCTACTCGACCACCCATTAATATCGCGAGCGGGTTTAACAAGGAACGACTTCATCGAGCGCGAATGACGCTGAGAAGGATGTACAGTACAAGTTATCTTGATGACAGAGAACCCACCTTGCAGACAGGGCCATGTGTATTCCAGGCCGTGACTTGATCCTGATCTACGGGCCGTTTAAAGACACACTTGATTCGAAAAAATGGGCTCTTTAGACTGCTCAGTGGCCGAGGCATCTCCTCACCTCCAAGATGTTTACCAATTACGGCCTGATCAGGCCCTGATTCTTGATGGAAATATTACAATACGATACCCTTTATCTGGGGGAGGGCTTTGCAAGTTACTTGGAATTAAGAAGAAGAAGATTTAGTCACAGCTAGAACTGCAGAGCAATCGCATACTACTTATCAGATCATAGGAAACACCGCAGTAGTGGTAGCAATCACAAGCGTTACAACCGTCCACCAGCATATCAAGGGTAGACATCGGAGATGATCTCTACCGCATTCACGAGTTGGGATTTGGCATATCGCAGAAGTAGAGCAGGTTTTATCGTTGGGAAAAAAAAAAAAAAAAAAAAAAAAAAAAAAAAAAAATGGCAGGTGGATGGTTTAACAGTACGTTGTTGAAGAAGTATAAGCGAAGGACCACTGATTGGCGGACTGGAAATAGTAGAAGCCGGGTGAGGCAGATTGAAGTGCATGAGTGCAGGGTCCTCAATGGGCAGATCATTCAATGGCTGGATGTTGAAAAGCACAAGCGAAGGATCGTCGATAGGCAGGGTAAATGGATCTAATTTGTCGGGAAGCCGAAGGGAACCCTGCGAGGCCGTGCTGAGTTGTCATTCTTTGAATGTATGAGGAGAATCCTGTGGACAGGAGCAAAGGCTGCAATTGCAGTATATGGTTCAAAGGGCTAGTTCCCGACAGCAAGATCTGGGTTGCTAGATTGACCAGAACTGAGCTTTGTGCTTGGGTTTTCGAATTTCCGACTTGCCTGTCTCCTCGTCATGTTGCCGTTCAAGGATGCCGCCTTGTGAAACGGAGCATGAGAACGTGCGAAGCTTAATTGTCACGGCTCCTCCCATGAAGTCTTGCTTTGTGAGAATTAAGGGCCTCTGCATAATGAGATGCAAGATTGCAGCGATTGCAGAACTTTTGTTCATCATTCAGATCCTTAATATCAGCATGGCCGGCTTCCAAGTCTTTGGGGTTGCCGAATATGCTGAATTAGAGTCTTCTGGGCGGAGAAACATTCCCAGCAACCCGGGCAATTAAATCGACTCTGGAGAGTTTTCGTCTAGGATGTCAAATAAAGGTTCAAGTCCTCCAGGTAGCGAAGCACGCCAGAGAGCTTGTGTTGATGGCGCCTAGGAAAATATACTATTGGGAGAACGTAGAGGAAATATATCCGTGTAAGGGTTGATGTTGAATTCGGTCCTTCACAGCTGCTCAGTGATATTCTACTCGGTGAGTCTTGAGGGCGTCCTCGTCTAGAAATGCAAGATTGCATCGATTGGGAAAATTTCTTTCAGATCTAAACTTCGAATATGCCGAAATAACTCTTAATTGGTCAAAAAGGGTTCACTGGGTTGACTGGGATCTAGGGATCAGCAGGCGGTCTACCGTCATGGTATCCCAGCTCTCAATGCTGCAAGTTGGAGTGATTCGTTATGGGTAGGAAGTGGGAGAGCGGAAGGCTAAAAATTTCCTTCTTTTCATCAGCTTGAGTTCGATAGCTTGCTCGGAGGTATGTATATTGCCTCTTCTCGTATCGTACAACCTTTTCTCCTTTTAAGTTTCTCCTTGTTCTAAGATTGAAATGCAACCAAGATCGAGACAACTTGAACTCAACTACGGAGTACAGTGTACAGTCGTTCGGAATCCCAATCCACGATCTAGACTGCATCAACACGATCTGTTCTGCTATGGCTTAGCTTGTCGCACCAGGGCATCTTCCTTCGCGAACAAGTCGTCGATGATGTTGCGCTTTGGCGGCTTGTGGCTTATTTACTACCTGGGACCACATGGACGATTTGAAAGCCCATAAAAAGCATTTGAGATGACATATTTGAGGAACTTGGTTTAATGAAGAGTGCAAGTTCGAGGAACATCTTTGAGCTCCTTCTGTCATATTCTCTATTTCACCTCTATTTCATCTGTAGGTTCAAGTTTTATTATTTGGCTTGCAATCTTTATTTAGGAGTTAGGTACAAGTGTTTATATTGGCTGCAAGGGGACGCGAATGACTGTGCAAGAATGGTGACAATATATCGCATGCATTGCTGCCATTGGTTCCAAGGTTATGCTTGCACGTTCAGATGCTTTTCAAAATGCCGAATTTGCAACTCGTTCCTGGAGACAAATAGTTAATAGTTAGTCACTACCTCGTAATAACTGTGGGCCTTGATAAAGTATATTCCCAGAAGCTATCACTTTACGGTGCGCACATCCCTACAACTACTACTCTACCTCGGCGACTCCGGCAAACGCAACTTGCATGACTCTCAGGTACTCCACTAGGGAAATAAAACCAGAAAACCGGATTTGGACACCGTGGCTGTCTCAAATCAAGAGGCCTTTTGATATAAGATGCGGAGTTCCTGGTGGCTTAGAGAGACT